TTAAACATTTTGGGGGAAAGAATCCACTTGATATAGTACACAAAAGCCACTACATGGATAATAATGAAAACCTGCAGTAGCAAAAACAAAATCAGATCAAGGAGCAAGAAATAGCATCATATGAACCAAGAATTGCAAAAGGAGGATGTGAGGTATTTCAACAATCTGAACACTGATTATGCTATCAAGATTTTGAACACTTCCATTCTTATATTATCTCTTGTTCTAGAGCCCACAAACACTTCCATGAATCAGTTTGAACACACTAGTTGGTCATACAGCAACACCTCCTCAAGTGGGAAGTTAATAACATGAATGCTAGCAAGAATAAATGACTCTTGATAGTTTCCCATGCCTAAAAATGACACGGGTATAACAACCTGATATTGCAAAACAAATTAATTGCAACAGGGAAAACAAGATAATAACAAAAGCAGCCAAAAGTTATGGAAATGATAAAGGAAAAAGCTTACAAAAAACAATGCAAAATGTTCTGTTGTCATCACAGCATTAAACCCAACTACTGGCACCAAAGCAGCTAGCAATGTTCCCAAAACAACCTGCAGCGAACAGTTTAGATATTTCCAGAAAGATCTTTGTCCTTCATTCAAGGGAAAATAAAAGATACACTATTTAAAAATGCCACCATCATTAAGCAAGAAGGAGGACTCTAACACCTTTAGGAGTTTGAGAAAATAAAGATGCATTATTTGTAAAATGAGCTTCTAACCACAAAGACAAAAGCAAAGGTTAAAACTGAATGTAATACAAAATGCAATCCCTAACAAGTTCAAGAATTTATAAAATGGATAAAAAAGTTCAAACATTTAGGAGTTCAAAGTATTATTAGATTCTGCACCTTTCCAATCAATCTGATGTCTACGGGAAGCGTTTTCAATGGCCTGCTGAATGCCTATTCCTGTTGCTCATTGACTAGTATTCAAGCTTCTAGAGTAATGCATATACAATGGACAATCGAGAAGAATACGACCAGTCACAATGCATAGAAGCACATGCATCGGAATGAGGTTAATAATGAATGTGTATCCTCCCCAGGAGCAGACCTGGAAAACAAAATAATTAATTGAGAAACATAAATAATGAGTGAAGATAAAAGTTGGTACAAGAAGCCTACCATATAAAAGTATGCAATTGAATTTAAGGTGGCATAGAACATTGATCCAGTATTTAGTGTCTGCAAATAACCGATAATGAAGAGAATAGTCGGACTTGAAATTAATTAATGGAAGGAAACTCCAAGCAAAATAAATAGCAGATTATCTGTTAATGATGAGATACTATTCACCACCAGTTATTAATCCGGACTATACCTCAAGCGGTAGAATGCAAAACTATAGTAAATAAAATGAATAACAATAATCAAAGTTAACCTTTATATAAAGATAAAAGTGAAGATCAAAGCAAATATTGCTTCAGCTTCATTGCATAGCTACCAGCAACAGACGGGAGATAAATGATGGAACCTGCATAAATGAATTGAAATAAGAAGTCAGACATAAGACACATTAACAGCGTCAGTTAACATAGAAATATGGCATCACCAAATAATGTCAACAGAGACACAGGTGCAGACCAGTAAAAACAATGGTCAGTTATACTTATCAATGTGTAGTGTGAAATAATGTTCAGTAACTGTTGTCCAAAACTGAAGTTTAAAAATAATTACAATAACTGAAAAAACTCTAATAATGCTACACATATCTCTTCCATAATTTACCATGGCTAAAAGAACAGCAGCAGTCAGTCCAGCACCAGCACCCTTAACTTCCTATAATAAAAACGCCACAGAATACCAAAAAATCAATTCAAGGTCAATAATAACAACAAACTAAACACAAATTTAGAGCATCATAGAGACCTTAGTCAAGAGGTATTTTGCCCATGAAGCAAAAGCAGAGAATATTGTTGCAGTAAAAACACAAACAGTTTCCACAGACAGTGGAATATTTAAAGAATTTAACAACCTGATGCACCAGGGAAAGAAAAACAAGTCAAACGCAAGTAATGGAAAACTTATACAAAAAATAACAAAATTTAATAGAATAGTTTTTTTTCCAGCCCGTTAACTTTCAGGAAACATACCACCATATGGTGCCAGCTGTCAAGGTCAACCCAGGGTAAACAGTTCCGCCAATCACACGTCCAAGAGGGTACCTTGATTATACCAAAAAATAAACAGTTCATTCAGAAATGCAGAGCAATAACATAGTAAAAGCCTAAAGCCATAAACAACATAAATTAACTACTAATTTGCAATTACCAGGTTCGATCATCAAACCAATTCCAAAAGTCATATATTCCCTTCTTTGTAAGAAACTGAAACCAACAAGATTAACCATATCATTTTGATATGTAACTAAAGATCCAAAATTTGACAAAAGGGACTAAAAATAACTATAAATTGTAAACGAGATGGGAGACTGGGTCAACTAACCTGAGTGACTCTGTAATTAAAATAAGGATCGAACTCATGAATAACACTCTCGTATTTTATAACCTGAAAGCATTGAATGACACAAGAATTCCAAATCACTAAGCAGTTCAAATGCAACAAATAGAATCAAAAGATTATTTTCCTTCACATTCCTCAAACTTTCTTATCATCCAAACGAAGAAGATTTAAATTGTACTACCATTGATTTCAAAATGACATTTTTCAAATATGCGAGTCGATCTTCTGCTCAATGTAACTTCGTTTTTTTAATATTCACGGCAAAAAAGAGAGAAAAATGAATTCTAGGAAATTATATCACAGATCGATCAGAAGATTCACGAAAGCGCAAGGAATGAAAAATCGTACAGAGAAAAGACGGATCGAGAAAGCGAGAACTCCGTTAGGAGGAGGATGAAGAAAGAGAGAACGCCGCCGAAAGCGTTTCGCAAGGTGTTGTTGATGTATAACGTCGGGACGGCGGCAGTTGAGGTCTCTGAAGCCGCCATTGACGGCCAATCAACAATCCAATGCGAAGTGACAGAGAGATAGATTAATACGAGGGGGTTCGGCCGTCGTTTGTGTGTGATTTCGAGCAGACTGAGCAAAGAGAAGACTTTGTAGTAGGGGATGAGAAATGCGGGAACTACGAAATTACCCTTTTCCTGTGAAATGACGTTCCTGGAAATATTGTAGGGCTTACAATGACGATATTGACCTTATATGACACTTTAAAGTAAGGTTACTATACAATTAAATATTACATAAAACATTACAAAAATGATAATATTTTATATAATTTATTTATACAAAAATATTATTACTCTGTAATAATTTGTATGATTATATAAAATATTATAAATTATGTGATATTTTTATATATTTATGTACATAAATATTATAAGACTATAATAATTTATATAATTAAATTTTATATAATTAATCCATACTATAATATTATTCTAATATTTTTATCCTAAACCTACAGGGAAAAGTATAATTACATTTTTACCTTTTATTTTTCAAAATTGTACCTACATTCTCCTTCAACCTTCTATGTTTCAAGTAATTTTTTAATAAAAAAAACTTTCTAAAAAGTTGTTTTCATTAGAAATTAAAACTTAATTTTTTAAAGCTTAAAAATATAATTTAGTTAATTCATACAATATTAAAAAGATATGTTCACTTTTGTTGTAAAATTTGATTTCAATCTTTAAAACTATTTTTTACGAACATTTTTATGAAAAAATAATTTTCAATGATTAAGCTATATATGATTAAATTAGAGAATTTGTTCTTATAAATTACCATCTACATCTGGAAAAAAAGGAATGTTAAGAACTCATTGAATGATTTCAATTATAAAAATGAATGTTATTCTCCCTTGAACACTTGAGTTTGTATCATAAATTAAAAAAAATTTAAATAAATATTATCTTATAGTCCCCCTTAAATAATTAAACAAAAAAAAATAACACAAATCAATATTAAACAAAAACCAACTCGATTGCCCTCTTAATAATAATTCCCCTTGGTATGTAGATAACAAAGGTGGACCAAAGTAGCCGACCTTCTACTATTAAAATAGATTTAGGCATGGCCCAACATCAATGTATATATTCATGAGGCATTGAAGTTGGATTCAAATCAAACCTTCACATGATAATATTGTTTATATATATATACGTAAAACCTTTACATGATAATAATACATTTTATATTATTTAAACCTAATCTAAAATATAAATGTAAAATTTTATAAATTCAAAGCTAATGTGTTTATATATTTTCTTATTAACGTTTAAATACGAAAGACTTAACGTGATAGTTTAAAGTTTACATTATAATATTATATATTATCACACATTTAATTTTTATATGATATTATATCACATAATACATAAAGGAAATAATATATTATATTAGACATACTAAATAATTTGAGCCGTGCCCTTAAGGTCGAATATCCAATTTTGTTCCTATTCCAAAGAATATTTTCAAAGTATACAAGGCTTTCACAGCAACCAGTTATGAGGGTGCTAAAGTGGGGGTAATGATGGAGATATTAAGGTGCAGAAAGTGGCAATGGTGATGAAGCGGAGGATTTGAGAGCTTTAACTGCTCGAGCTCCTTCTAAGAAAACTCGGACAGCGACACCTTTAGCTGTTGTTCCGATGTAATCTGACTCAAATGCAATGGATACCGATGAGCCAACGAAGAAAAGAGAAATCGATGCCCCAAAGGAATAGGATAATAAGAGGGAGAATCGGTTGGAGTACAACAAAACGCTAAGAAAATGGAAGAGAAAAAAGAAGGTTTGAAGGCCATTGCAAGATATTGTGATAGAGAGATTAGTAAAGAACTGACTCTTCTTGTGGTTTCTACCTGTTGCTGAAAAACGTGGGGAAAGTAGCATACGGTCGAAGTCATATGGATTACTAGGAAATGCCGATAAATTTGAAATAACCAGCATCAATATGTACCAATATCAAAACAAAAATGATGTATCCATATGTAGCATTATAAACACACGATATGCTCACTAATATGAGGCTAAAATGTAGTCCATGACAATGCTTCGAGCATGTATGAGTCATTCAGGAGTTTCATAACCGAACTACAACGCAAAAAGTCAAACATCCTTATTCCCAAGATAGATAGCTTGACATATTACTCTTATAACAAAGAACGGTTGGAAAGAAGATACCATGCAAGAAATGAAGAATGCCCAAGAGAAGATTAATATTACATTTTAATCAATGTTCCATGATTCAGCAAGCCCAACTTCATAACCCTTCCAGAATAAGGGAAGGCTTTCGGAACCCTGTTTCCTGTAAAAAATGTAGACTCAGTAAGCTGCAACCAGCAAAAGACTAATATTTTACATTTAACAGATTACTTGCATGATTGAAAAATGCAGACCTTTAAATTACAACATTTCCAGTCGGAACTGTCAAAACTTCTAAGCAAATAAGTTAGAATCGATTTGCTCAATATTAGAGAACACTTCTCTCAGGGTAGCCTGGTAGTTTGGAGATTTTGCCTGCAATAAAATACTAAAGCTTGAACATAAACAGGCAGGCTAGAGAGAAGAATGAATATTAAGTTAGCAGAATTGAGATTAGGAAATGTCAACAATTAATCATCAATTGTGCAAGTAAAGGGCGTTAACAAGATAAATACTAATATGCCATAGCTAAATTGATTGCAACAAAAGGCTTCATTGAACTCTTTCCGGTAAGGTAGACAACGAATTTAGTTTATGTGAGAAAATAGGGTACTTCATTCAATATTGATTAAGAAAAATAATAATGGAGAGAAGGTAACATATATAAAATCAGGAAAAAGTGACCAAAGAAAGGAGCCCCATAACAAAAAAGATTAAGAAAGAATCATGGCCTAAGTTGCAGACATACACATGGATTGTTTTCAAGGTAGATTGTAGTGAGCTTTTCTCTTGAACCAGAAACAGCCTCAGCTATGTTTTCAAGTGATTCTATTTGGTTGTCGTTGAGCCATAAGTCCTCCAACCTGCAGGTAAATTTATTCATCAACCAAAGATAGCATAAGACCCCTGAAGAGGGAAACAGGAAATTAAAATACCTTGTCAAGTTTTGTATGTCATTTACTGATGTTAACTTATTTGATGAAACATCTAATACTCGGAGGTTAACCAATGTTGATAGACCTTCCATTTTTGCAATACCATTGTGGCTCAAATATATCTCTTCTAGAGCAACGCATTCCTTGAAAAACAAAAAATCAAAATCAAAACATCATTAAAATGTCAAGGAAAATAAAAAGAATTTTGGTAGAACAGTTTATTTGAAAGTGCAATACCTCCAATCCTGTCATAGAAGTTAGACGATTACTTTGCAAACTAATCTTCTTAATACAATTGAGCCCACAAAGATTTATCACTTTAATTTGATTCCTTCCAAGCCAAAGCTCTTGTAAGTTTATGAAATTTTGCAGATTTTCCATTACCTAAAGAAGGAACTTCACAGTTTAGATCATGATTGAAAATCTACTAATAAGACATGTCACTTCAATCAAAGGTGTAGACAGATTACTTCAACATGAAACGGAATTCACTAAAAGGAATTCACAAAAATCTTATGCTGACAAAGTGGTGTAGACAGATTTCTGCACTAACCCTTAATCTGTTCGAACCAAGTTCAAGAATTTGCAATTCATGCAAGTGGTCAATCTCCTCCGTCATAGTAACTTCATTTTTGGAGACGTAGAGTTCCTTGAGCGTGCTGAAGACCTTTGACATTCCATGCAGTGAAGTGATTTCATTGAAAGAAACATCGAAAACCAATAGCTTCTTGAATAAGCTAACATCTGGTATTTTCATCAATTTATTATCCCTAAGTACTAACTCCTGCATAAAAACAAACAAACAAATAACCCCAAGCTTCTTCATAGTTCTACTAATAATCAACAACGGATAACACGGAAAGAGAAGGGGTAAGGGGGGGGGGAGTTACTAATTCCATAACATAATAAGACTCACTGATTGTTCTTTTATGTAACAAGTACTTTCTCAAAGAAAGCTAGAAATTTAAAGTTTTAAACCAAATAGTAACAAATAATCTGCAAACATGTGATCAACATGCTTTTTTTTCTTTTTAGTGAAGAGTAACTGGTAAGCAGTGATCAGAAGTACATAAATTTCATCTCTCAGAGAAATTTCAAAAATAGTAAAAAATTAAAGGAGTGATACAGCCAAGACAAACGAAGCTTCGATGGTATGAACGAAAAGGAAAGGGTTACCTCAATACCAGATAATGAGTCCCAGTGAGAGATCGGCTCGATAGCAGCATCGTCGATGAGGTTCTGCCGAAAAGAGAGCTTTCTAAGGTTAATAAGATTCGCAATCCGAGGGTCCAATTTCGACAAACGGTTCGCAGTAAGATCCAACTCGGTCAGGTTTGGCGGCAATTCCACCGACTCAAGATCGTGGAGCTGGAAGCTGGTGAGATCGAGAGTGGTGGTGGATGATAAATCAATCTCCATCGCTTGATCATGTTCATCCGGGTTAGCTTCTGGTGGTAGTTCGGTTTGATTTTGCATTTTGGGAGTAGGGTGGGAGGGCGGCGGCGAGCGGAAATTGGATGAGGTTCCGTCGACAGTCGTACGGCGGTTTTGTTGTGCTTGTTCATTCATTCTCCGCCCTGATGATTCTGAAGGCAATATATTTTGCTATAGAAGCGACACGTAGTTTGTTAATTTTGTTCCCTTCAACACGGTGCCGTTAGGACAAGTACAAAAAAGGTTCTAATACTATACATATAGAATATACTATAATTTAATAAAAAAAAAAGTAATATACTATAGACCTTGGAGTCCCTCTCACTGCTAGGAGATTTTTTGTAGCGGACAGTGTGTTGATAGTGGATTGGAAGGCTAAAACTTTGTCTTATATTAGAAGGGTGCAGCTTTTTCAGTTTGTGGTGTATAGTGTCCAAATTTTTTGAAGTTATCAATTGGTCTTTTCTAGTATGGTTGTCAATCGGATTAATCAATTATGTTTAAGGTTTTTTTGAGGGGGGATAAGACCGCTAAAGGAGCTAGATTGGGGTGGAGCTCGATCTACTCTCTTGGTGTGGTCTGAAGGATATGGAATCAGGCTTATTTTTTGTTGCTTATCAGGAAAGTTTTGTTGAACGATGATTCAATTTGGGTGGCGTGGGTGCATTCTTATATAATTAAGGACAACTCTTTTTGGAGTATTACTTGTCCTCAGCAGTGCAGTTAGACTTGGAGGGCTTTGTTGCAGCTTCTGTTCAAGGGTTCTCGCTTTATCTACGGTTTCTATGATTTGGAAGGAAATTCGGAGTAAAAAGGGAAAAGTTCCTTGGGAAAGACTTGTTTGGCACTTTAAGGCACGTTCCCAATAACTCTCTTATTTCTTGGATGGTTATTTTGGACAAGTTGTCCACCAGGAGCAGACTCATTTCTTTTGGTCTGGTCGTTGAGGGTGAGTGTGGTTTGTGCTTGAGGGATAGTGAAACCAGGAATCATTTATTTTTTGAGTGTGAGATCTCTCGGATGGTTTGGCGTGGTATTTTGGACAAGATTAAGGAATCAGAGGTTATTTGCAGGGAGAGTGATTACTGTTACAAAGATGGTAGATCGCGTAAAGGAAATGGTAAAGTTGAAGCCGTGGGGCAAGCAAGTTGATAGGGAGAGTCTTGTAAATAGAGATATATGTATAGCTTGGCAGCTGGTATAACCTTTTTTTCCTTTTGAGTTCTACTGCTGATGTAGTTATTGTGTTGCAGTTTGACTGCTTTTGGAATATATGATACATCCATCTAAAAAAATTATACTATAATTAAAATTAAATTTTATTATTAAATTTTATAGTTAATTTATATTTATATTGATAGAATTAAAAATTAATATTTTAAATTTCCATAAACATTTTAATTTCATTTGTATTTATCTTAGTTTTTTCCCCTAAATTTTCTTTGGTTTTATAATATTGTTGATCGGTGAAGCTGACAATAATCGTAGATGGTGATCGAATAATTTTTCTGGTAGTACGGGTCTGATTTTTTTTTGGGGGCTAAAAGTGTGTACATACCCTTATTCTCCTTTCACAATGCCCTAAACAAGTGTCGATCAGGTCTTGTTGTGGCGTTGGTTATGATTAGTCATCAAAATAGATCACATGTATTAGCACGTGGTTGCTGGAGATCATACGTAAAAGATGTTCACGGAATAACAAGTGATTGATACGTGATCGTCGCTGGTAGTTCGAGGAATACACTCCGCGTGATTGAGAATTCACATAAATCTTACATTCGCATCTTTGGAGATTTAGGTGATTGACACGTGATCGTCACTGATAGTTCGCGGAATACGCTCCGCGTGTCTAAAAGTCCGCATAAATCTTACATTCACATCCCTGGAGGTTCGCAAGAGTCGTATGTTCACATATAAGAAGGTTAGCAGGTGATAACAAATATATTAAATTCATTTATCATTTGTATTTATCCTTTGTTTCATGTGTTCATTTTGGGAACTAATTATGACAAGTGTTTGATCGAACTGAACCAGAATGCTAATCGTTCTACTGATGAATGGAAACAAAATCTTTCTTCCAAATAACTGCTTTTCCGAAACGTTGATTCTGCTGTTCTTTAGGGATAAGGAATGAGACACTTGATGATTTTAGTGCAAATTTGGCACCAGCAACCTGTAGTTCATCTCAGAGAGATTAGCGCCGCCTGCATTCTCGGTTCGTGCCGGCTATAGCAGCAACAATCTCGAAGGCCAACTTATTTGTGCAGGTTAGATCTTATAGGTCGTTTCATGTGAAAATGATATCATTTTTTGTGGGTGATTCACAATCACACGACTTGATTAACAAATTTACTTAAAAAGTTGGTATACATGTACCCCAATAGTTGTATTAGGAATTATAACTGTATTACTATAGTGCATCTATCATTTGAGTAAAATAGATTTGAAATTAGCATAAATCAAATTGATAGCGAGTCTATATTACCTAAACATAATCCGAGAGGACTTCAAGTTTGATGTTTATCGTATACACTTAAATCGGTGTGAGTGTCCTTGTATCGTTGGCTCAGGTACGTCGCACAACGAATTGGTGGAAACCTGGTTAAAAGTACATGCAGCAGCTCAATTAGAGATGGTATTCAGATAAACAAGATTACAAAAGGTATGTATGCTGCTTGGACTGGGGTTCTTGAAGAAGGTATCAAATGAGGGGCACTTAAAGAAAAATGAAGACCCGAGTAAAGACGGACTTCAATCCTTATTATTTATATTTAGAACACTTTGACAACAGCACTTACTTTGGAGGATTGTTTTCGGATTTACAAGTAGGCAAACATTCGACAAGGCAGTCGTGATTCGGTTCAACAAAGTATGCAATCTGTAATCAGAAACAGCAGGCATAAACCTTAGTTTTCTTTTGAGGTTGACATAGATATGTATTTGGAGGTTATTACATCAATGTTCGAATAATACAATGGAAATGGGTATTTCAAGAAGAATAAAGAGCCAGAGCCATATAAGATCAATTATTGTGAAGTTCATTCTAGTAGAGTCGAAAAAGATCAGATCGAATCAAACAAGAGTTGGTAGAAAAGCAAATTTTTGTAGTTCTTGAAAGCACTATTTACCCTGCTTGCATTTAGGTAACCATAAAGGCATAGACAATTAGCAATATGGACAAAGAACAAGTACATCAAGATATAAATGTTATCTAACAAGCACAAAAGTCGGACATGATAGGTACAGAACAGTTATGACGGGATGAGTATGTTGAAGCAACCCGATATAATGACATGAAGACATCATAGAACATCTATTTCAATTACTAATCATCAAAAAGGCAGCTAAGGGTCTTACAACTTGGATGACAAAGATCGGATTCAAAAATGGAAGAGGACTTACGGAATATCTCTCCTGACCATTCCCCAAAACTCGGTGCAAAGTGGACCTGGGTACATGCGAAAACTAAGTAATTAGTCAAAATAGAGAAGAAAGATGGTTTCAAAATGTAGTTTCCAGCCTTAAACATGAAGACCTCAAGCATATATAAAAAGATAGTTACAAAAGGAAGTTTGGACCATAGTTGCCAGAGAAAGTTGCAAATTACTTGAATATACAGTTGCTCCAGCGTTCCAGCATGTCCCCGAGATTGACTATAAAAGCTCTGTAAAAAAATCATTAAGCGTGTCGTATTATACAATTATTAAGATCAGATTAAGTTTATGCAAGCGTAAAACAAGAACAGATAAACAATGCAAGGATAGCATTTTAAAAAGATGAGCAACATATGTACATTAAATTACAGAAAACCGGTCACTTAGAAACTACTATCGGGTGCAAATGAAGCCTCCAAAAGCAAGGCAGTAAAATTGATTCGTATTTCCACTAGCACGTCTAAAAAGTAACCCGAAAGGCAGAAACCTCAGCAGGCCATCTGCAACTAACCCTTTTATAGGTGCCACATATTCCCATATCTGAGGTTTTGCATCTTTATTTTTGCATATCTGCAAAAAAATAATGATAAACTTTTGTTAACTAGTCAAAAGCAGAGAATAATGGGTAATATAATTGCATGATACTGCAGTTATCATACTTGCAGACCCATCACATCATCCGTTGCCAAGAGTGTAATCAGTCCATAATCAGAATGTGCACCCGCTCCATATATTCCTTTTGAAGGATTAGAAACTTGACCTGAAAAGCATACAAGATTCATATAATATAATGAGTTACATCAACCGTGCAAAGACACCAAAATTAAAGTAACGACATTTCATGATCTTCCACCTTCGTAGTGTAGTAACCGCAAGGTGGCAATAGGCTTTCCAAGCATCTCAGGCTTATGAAAAAAATCAACCTCTAGGTCAAGCGCAAGCGCTATGATCCTTGCAACTGCTTTTGCCACCTCCCTAATTGCACATAATGAACAAAAACAAAATCTTATTAGCCTATATTTGTGGCAACCTAATCACATGCTAGCTGTATAACTTACAATGCCTCGTGATGAAATTTTTCCATGGTCTGCCTCCATCCAGGCAAAACACCTAATCAAAGCAAAAGGTTCCAAATATATAGGTGAAAAATTATTTAAACAAAATCTAGCAAGATAATCAATCAACAAAGTCCGGTAGTGTTTACCATCTTCAGGCCAAACATTTGGCCCGTAAAACGGCTTCTCCGCATCAGGATCATCTTCTGGCACTTCCACGCCTATGTAATACCCCTCTTTGTAGTCTCCTACTACCCCACCAGTGAAAAGAAAGCTCAATACATCAATTAAACCATTTCAACAAAGATCAAATATGAAAGGTAAAGCAAAAATTACAATTCAAAATAATAGAATCACTAATGAGAAAGAGTTTGCTGACCATGAACTTGATTATCAGGATCAAGAAGCTCGTCAAGCACTGGAGTGTATCCTCTGTGTTTTTCATTCCTTAAAAGTTTCATTTTCTCATTTAAAGGCAAATGAAATAAGTTCTTGCTTTGAGCAAATACTTCATCCATGAATTCCTGACTTATCCCATGGTTTATCACATAGAAAAAACCACAATCCAAACAAGCCTAAAAATTCACCAAAATTTCCAAATTTTAATTCTGGTTTTGTGTTGAAAACCATCAAGATATCAAAATATCAACTTCCGACCATCATGACAACTAAAAAGTTTGTAAATTCCCATAAAAACGTAGAAATCAAATGAACAAAGAGAGGGAAACGAAAACCTGCTTTAGTAGAGAGACGGATTGGTGAATATCGAGATTAGAAAGATCAATACAATTGAGAGTTGAAACTTTGAGAAGAGCATCAGTTCCATTTTTGCTATTATTCTCCATTTTTTCTTCTTCCTTTTCCCCTTTGCGTTGCTTTATTTTGGTGTTTCAAGTCTATGAGGCCTCAAGTTCCGAAATTCAAAGCGAGAATTTATACTGGATGAATCCAGAGACCAATGGCAACGATTACCGAACACGATGCTGTGCACACGTGACGAAAGGCAGATTCACATGCTGTACCACTACACGACACAAATATGACTGACATCATTATTATTTAGGGTAAACTACAAGTTTAGTACCTAAATTATTATATTTGTTCCGTTTTGATACCCAATTTATTTCCTTTCAAACTATACATGATGTTTTAGTTTATGTTTCATTTTGGTACCGGCTGTTAAAAATTTAACGGTGATTTTAATGTGTCATGATAAGGTAATGTCATATAATCATTGGAAAAAATAAAAAAATACCCCCTCAATAATTCTATTATTTTTTAACGGCAGAGATTAAATTGAAACTTAAACTAAACGTTGGGCATAATTTGGAAAAAAATAAAGTTTGTGTATCAAAATGGAATAAAAGTAATAGTTTAGATACTATACGTGTAGTTTATCATATTATTTACTTGTAATTATTTTTAGGGTAAACTATATGTTTAGTACCTAAACTATTACTTTTGTTTCGTTTTAGTATCTAAACTTCAATTTTTTTAAAATCATACCTCACGTTTAATTTAGATTTCATTTTAGTATCCACCGTTAAAAATTTAATACTGACATGGCAAAATTTTTAATTTTTTTAATGATGATGTGGCATTTTCTTATGATAAAATGTCAACATCATTGTTAAATTTTTAACAAGAGTGTACCAAATTAAAATATAAACTAAATGCTAGGTATAGTTTTGAAAAAAATGTAAAAGTTGGGTACCAAAACGGAATAAAAGTAATAGTTTAAGTGCTAAACATATAGTTTACTCGTGTTCTAGTTAGATATCAATCATTTTTAAAGTAAAATGAATATAAGTTAAAGATAAAATTATGAATAAAGTGCAAAAGTAATTACGGTTTTTTTAAGTTGAGTTTGAGGTATTGGAGATGTGCATCCTGCGCCACGGGATAATAGAGTGGCTGAAACTTGAATGGTTTATTTTGAAGAAGAATATTATTCATTAGAAGCCGCTTTCAATACCGAGCAAGTGGAAACTCAGGGGGGACAAAAGGCAATATTCCCTCCTTTATAGCCCCATCAAGTATGCTGAATTTTGAGTCTAGATTCCACTTCGGATTCAAATTCCGTCTATTATAGTTATCATTCATTACTTTTCAACGTAAGAATTATCGGTGTCCACATTCAGATGGTATTGAAAAATTAAAATTATCATATAATTTATATTTTTAATATATTTTTATTAAAATTTTATTTTTGCTTCTAAAATTTTATAAATTTATTTTCTTTTAAAATTTTAAAATTCATTTCCTAAAATAAAATATTGTGTTCGTTCATGTGTCCACTCATAGCTCACATAAATTGAATTTGTATTGGTAAAAAATATTTTTAATCACAAGGACATGGATGCTTAAGAGCTTCAATATTGTCAACTAAATGGGTTGGTGGTTGAGTATGCGGGTGAACAAACATTATGGATGAAGACACGTAGCTGCATACATGAAGGGCTGCTACGCAAGGAATAGGAAAAGGAAAAGACGGTTTACCAGTTCTTTAAAAAAATTAATTTAAATTTCCAAAAGAGTAAAAATTCTAAATACCTCTTCAAAATATATTAAAGATTCATCACTAAATATTCATAATATACTACATCTAATGTTCATAGTTGACGCGTAGTATGTCTTTCTTTATTGTATTGGTGTTTGGAGACGTTGAAACAAAAATAATCTCCCTTTTAGTTAAAATTTCGTTGGCACTTGACGGTGTACAAATACGATTTTATAAATAATTAAAATATTATACAAAATGCAACATCAAATAAGTATATAGTAATGCCATGTTTTATATTAATATAATACATTCTATCATGTTCATAAATATATATAAATAATATTTTTTATATTTATTAATTTAATTTAGTAATCAAATCATTTGAATTATATTGTAACAAACACGATATTCTCAATTCAATTTAGTGATACAAATGCTTGAATACTATGGTGAAAAAAATTTGTTTGAATAATATGTATCTAGAATTATGTCATGGTCTAGGATAATTTCCACAATAACTCATGACCTCGTCAAAACTCCGTGATGACTTTTGAAAAACGTATTGTCTCCATGATGAATTCTCTATGCAACAATGCAATTCGGACGCTTGATCATGGTAGGGAATATAAAAATCGTCGGATAACCCATTCACTTTTTAAAAATCATCGTGTAATCTAAGCAAAATCCATTGAGCACTACAATAAACATTCTAGTTAAATAATAATAATTTTTGGTGCACCTTGAGTAATTTTCTTTACCATATTATTACAGTAATTTTATCCAATTTGTTTCATTCACAATATCATGATTCGAACTTAAATATATTTATTTTATTTTCAAAATTATAATATAATAATATCAATATACAATTTATTTTATTATCAAATTATAATATATATGTATAATCTTTTCAAATTGCGGAAATTCCAAATTTTACAATTTGATCTTCCTCTGGCATCAGCAACAGCCAGATGCCGGTTTGCGGCCCACTGGCAGCAGGAAATTTGTGATCATTTCCCCCCGGTTTCAAGCCTCGGGAATAATCAATCTCGTGTAAATATAGAGCGGTATACTCTTATTAGAGTGTACGATCTTGTAAACTAATATACGAAAAGAATCAAAAAATATTTTGCATTAATCTCAACAGATTATGTTATAGAAAAACACACACAATAAACAAAATCTTGAGTGACAATGCTTCAAACGTATCATCGTATCATTAGCCGGAGATTTCATGGCGGCAAAGAGGGCAAGAATTGCTATTGCCGTTCAAGAGCCAATAGGTAATACACTCATGGTGATAAACGTGGCCGCACGAAACTTGCCTTGAAGCAGCTCCCTCGAACTGCGACAAACTTTCCATACAGATCGAGCAACTACCGATCGCATGATCAACCGCCGGCATGTCGGAGACCAAACGGACGACCATTTGATGCCTGGCTAGAACATCTTCCGGCATTGTCATAGCGTCGTCAAGATCGAATTGGTGAGTGAAAGGAACAGAAACATCGCTGCTCGAAACGACAACCTGGTATTTAGCTGATCCGCTGTCCATGGAAACGGCAAAAAACGAAGAATATTGGAAAGGTTGAGGCTTTGATGTTTTTGTTTTCGAGAAGTGGTGATGGAGATAAGATTAAGACCAATCAAAGAATTGTTTGGATTCATAGTCTGTGATTTGATGTTAAATAAAAATGGTACGAGGGGGCGAAATTGACCATCTGTAAAAGGTTCGAACATTTTTGACTCTTTTTATACATTAGGTCTAATGTCAATTTCCACGATATTTCGGATAATTTACTTTATTGAAATGTTGGTTAGTCACAATTCACAACGCGTTTATAGTGATGGCGAAGATAAAGTGGGCGTTTAGTTGGCGGCACATTGGATTATCGGGGAATGGATTGTCATTCCTCCGACTCTTGGTAATCTTTTATTTCTAACAGTGATATTTTGGGGGTATATTACCGGAAATGTGAATATTCATTCTCTTAGGTATTGTTGGATTACCGGCGTTTTAGATTAAAATGTCCTTAATTTTTTCCCTAAAAATATTCTTATTCTGTCGTTGAATAAATTTTTTTTACGAAGGTTAAATTACAAATTTATCCTTAAACTATTTTAGATTTACAAAAAAATTCATAATTAGAATTTTATATGAAGTTCAGGGGTTAAAATAAAATTTTACCCTTTCATTAAACCTATTTATCTTTTCAATTTTGTAAAAAAAATTATATAATTTTATGAATTTAATTTTTTTAAAGAAAATATATAAATTAATTATAGTAATATTATAGTAGAATTCAACTTGTTAAAAAATAAATATAAAATAAGGACAATTTTGTAAAATATACATTCCAATAATCTTTTATTCCTTTAATCAAACAATGTAATCTTGCATTCCTGCTAAACGAACCAAACACAAAATACAACATTCCCAGTAATCTTATTGTCGCCGGTAATCTTATTCCCACTGGTAATCTTACATTCTGTGAACCAAACGCACCCTAGTAGATACCAATCATAAGCGGGTAGAGTGAAAAGTTTTAAATAAAATTTTAATTTTAATCATTATAAATTGTTAAATTATATTAAGAATGTTGTTTTCACAATTAATTTTTATAGTATTTAATTTGAATTAATCAATTAATATATCAGATATTAATAACTAAATAAAACTATATGATATTATTTTTCTGTTAACAAATGAGGAGAAGATAAATATATAAGAATTTACTTAATCCTACATGGATAATTTTATAATATTATTTATTTATTTTAATATTACAAGTCTACGATACCTTTTAATATTTACATTCATCAAATAATTTAATTATATTTATATTTAATGTTGAGTAATATGCTAAACAAATTTTATAATCTAAATTTCTAATTTATCAAATAAATTAATATATTCATATAATAACAAAAATTTGCATGAGCATATGAGATATTAAAAAAAACATGTATGATTTTTTATTTTATTATATTTTAATGTTACGTGTGAATTTCAGTTGTTTGTAAAATACTGGAAATTTAGTGCACCACTCTTAAGGCTAAGCCACGTCTAGTTAAAAAAATACATTAGAATTTGAGGTATAGTTCAGGCCATTTGGATCGAAGCGGGAGTTTTAGCATTGATGTGGGTTCAACACAGCCCATTAGAATTCAGTTGTTTGCATATATAATATTTTATAATACATTTAACCAATATAAATTTTATTTTACACAATATACATATTTTACTGTCCTGTATTTTTATTTAATATTTTAGATTTTAGAGCTAAAATTTAAGCTTATTATTTAGAGTTTATAAACATTCAAATAATTATATTTACATTTTTTAATTTTCAATTTGATTATGTATTATAATATTTAATTTAAAATATATAATTACTTGATATTACTTTTACAAACGTATGCATAACTTCTTAAAGATAAATACTTTATATTGATACTTTAATAATTATTTTTAAACGTAACAATAATAGAATAAGTTTCAACAATCAACCAAAACGACATATCACATCTAATGTACTTACAATAATTTCAGACGCAATGCCCCCCAACACGTGGAACCATTGCCTTGCATTTGTCCCTTTTTGTCGTAGAAAATATTTGTGCTGTAAAAGGTGAGAGAATAGAATTTTGGAGTAGGTATGAGAATGGTTACATGTGTACTCCAATTTTTTTTAATTAATCACTAATATCTATCGTCAAATTAATCTAGATCTAATTCTGTATAGATTCGTTATGGATACAATCCTTCTAATATAATTTGTTTAATTTTAATCTTATTTAAAGAATCTAATGTCTCGTCCCACCAGATCAACTAGTTATTAGCACGTTTATTTAAATTTTATTTCTTCATTAAATGAGTCAAATTATATTTTTTTCGACTCGAATGAAAATAAAATTCAAATAATAAAGTATAACAACAAATATGATATATATTGATTATAATTTACATACTACATTACTTTTAATATTATATTTGTATGAAATTTATTATATTATTTGATAAATATTTTGTTTTAATTACTTTTAAATATAGAATTCCTATCCGGTTTTTACGTCAATGTTATCTCCAAGTATCTCTTTCATTAAAGAAATATGCCACATGCCTAAATAATTCCCAAAAGTCCGGTATTAATTTGTGTAAGTGGTTTGTTTATATGTTTAGCACCTATCATGTACATCTAAATATGCTTAAATATGATTGATACAAATTAAAATTTATCAAAAGCAGACGGGAACGAGATTATTTATTCTTCGTTTTTATTCGATAAACACGAAAGAAGATAGAAATTTATTTATAAATGAGATTAATATAAAAATAAATATATAAATTATATATATTTTACGATTTATATGTTTAATTTTGTTTGTCAATTTAGGTATCTAATGTTTATAACGTTATTATTTAGGTGTCTCGATCGTAATAGATGTTAAAAAAATTCATCAATCACTTAGATTGTAACATGTGCACCTATGTCCACCACCGTTGTCGCCCCCATTGGCAGCCTACCTACCCACCGGTCGACGTAAATCGTGTCTTTTAACCCCCCAAATTTTAAACCCAAAATCTCTAAATTCCAACACCCATCCATCTAAATCAGTCGGTGAGTGGTTAACGAGTTGCTGACAAACAGGTGATTCGATGATCGTCGCCTGCAGTGGTGGTCGATGTCATAATTGAAAGTGTAAGGGTAATTTATGAAAAATAAGAAAAGTTTAAGGTTTTTTAAAATATATATATATATATATATATATATATTATTTTTTTAAAATAAAGGAAATAAAAAAATCGAGTCGTGTGTCGAACACTAGTTGGTTGGTTTATTTTTAGTAGATTTTGTAACTTTCTTTACGGTGTAGGCACCTAAATGATAACATTAGAAACATTAGACACCTAAATTAACCAAAAAATATTTAGCACTTAAATGAGAAAAGATGTATAATTTGGGAACCTATTTTTATATTAAGCCTTATAAAAATATAGGTCCACATTTTTAGTGATGGATATAGGTACTCTAATTACCTATTTCATTTATGGTTTAATATAAAAAGTATCTAAACTATATATATATATATATATATATATATATATATATATATATATATATATATCATTTATGTGTAAAAACTTTTTTCGATAAATTTAGGTGTTTAACATTTCTAACGTTATCATTTAGGTACCTCGATCGCAATAGATGTTTAAAAAAATTGTCAACCACTCAAAATGCTACATGTGACATGTTTATAATTTTTAAAATTTTCATTTTAAAAAGTTAAAAATTATTATCATTATTAAAAAAAACTCCAAAAATATTTTTAAATTTTCAAAAAAATCGCCAAATCTTAACTCCAAAGCATCCACCCTACCAATTGTCGTCCACCGTTGTTGTCGTCCCCACCGGCCTCCTACCCACCAATCGTAGAACGTCAATCGTGGCTTCAAATCTCTAAACCAAAATTTCTAAATCCCAACACTCATCCATCCCAATCACTGAGTGACTGGTCGATGAGCTGGTGGCCAACGGGTGAGTCAATGATAGTCGGTGGTCGTAGTGATCGACGTCGGAATTGAAGGTCTTAGGGTATTTTATGAACAATATTCGAAGTTAGTTTTTTCTTTAAAAATTGTTAATGTTATTTTTTTAAAATAAATAAAGGAAATTAAAATATCAAACCACGTGTCAAATATTGATTGTTTGACTAATTTTTATCGATCATTACGAGTTAGGCACCTAAATGATAATGTTGAAAACGTTAAACACCTAAATTGACCCAAAAATTTAGACACCTAGATGAAAAAAATGTATAGTTTGAATACATTTTTTATATTAAACCTTTATTTATTATTCTTATCATGAAATTGTATTTGTGATCATCTTTAAATAAAAATTATATGTAATTGATAAATGAGTATCCACCTTATTTGGATTTACTAAGAGTTTTAGAAATTGCTCGATTTTATCAGTCGAGCTCTGGCAATTGTAACATCCTCAATACCGGGTTAGTGGTCAAATTGTAAAATTTCAAAATTTGGTGATGAAAGTAGAATAGTTCAATAGTTCAATGATTTATTTGAAATATTTCTTGAAAGTTTTAGTAATTATTAAAGGAATTAAAGGGCAAAATGGTCATTTGACTAATAAATGAATTAAAAATGATATGTTGGGGGTTATATATGGGGGAAATGGATAAGAAGAAGGAAAATATCCAGAGAATTCTCTATTCTTCCTCTTCTTCTTCTTCCTTAATGTGTGCCCAAGAGCAAAGATATCAAGCACAAGCAAATTCAGGAAGAATTGCAAAGTTAGGATCGATTCAAAGAGAGAAAATCATAGAAGTGGATTTGGTAATTAAGTAAGGCTAAGGTGAGTGCAATTTAATTTGTACATATGTTAGTGAATAAACATTGGCTTGCCATGAGCCAATGACGGAGTTACAATGGTAAGAAGTGACTACTAGAATATTATTTGATTTTGTGATGGATGTGATTCTTACGTGTGTATGAGTACATGAAAGTGGGTTTATGTGTCATATGTTAATATATGTGACATAATCTACATGATTATATGATTATATATATATATATATATATATATGTGATGGGTGATGCTGAACTACATTAATATATGAAATTATAATAAGCTATGTAGTATTGACATAAGTGATTGTAGGAATATGTACTATAAGATATGTGAATATAAAATAAGTGAATACATGGAAATACTATATAGTTAATGTGATATAAGTTATATGGCATTGTTATATGAACTATATGAAAGTATGTACATGAATACATGAATAAGTTTATATGTTATATAATATGAGATATATGTTTACACATACATGTGGTAAGTGACAGAAAATAAGGAATATGTGAATATAGTATATGTGATATGAGATTATGTGACAATAAGTTATATGAGGTGAATGATATAATGAGAAACTATGTGATAAGAAGATATGAGTTTATGTGATATAAAAGTGAATATGTGAAATGATATAAAGGATAATGCCCATGTTATGTGATATGAGAGCTAATGGTATAGTTGGCATGCCAAGAGTCGAGGGTTTACCTATGTTCTACGGAACATATGGACATAATTACCTATGTCTTTCGGGACATATGAACAATATACCTATGTTATAAGGAACATATAGACAGTTTACCTAGGTTCTTCGGGACCTATGTACAGTTGTCGAGGTTCTTTATGACCTCTGGATAGGTCATTCGGGACATTTATACGATGTGGTGACAACATAGTAGTGCACAACCTCAGTGTACTCTCATACCTTAAGTTCTCAACAGTGTACATGGGCTAATAAATAAACTTAATAAATATATTGAATATGATATGTATATGTGATTTGTTATATGGAATAGATCACAGGATTTATGTAATGGTGTATTGCTTGGTTAATGCATGATATGTTATGTATAAGGGTGTTAAATTATAAGGATTAATGATAATGAATGTGAAATGTTAAACGTATTGATAATGATATATGTGCATGTGGGTATATGTTACAGAAATGATATATGCTTTTATATGATATAATCGTAATAATTGCTCATGCATTTGATATGAATTATACTTGTATTACATGTTTTATATGCCTCACTAAGTCTATGACTTAGCGTGTAAGTGATTTACACGTAGTTACTGGAAAACGAGAGGATCAAAGCTAAATTCAAAGGAACAATATATCTCCACTCAGATGTCAGATCAGAAGTAGATTACATAGTATGTATTAGTATATGATAAATAGGTTGACATGTAAACAAAGTCGTTAAATTAAGTATGTGTACTCAGATCGAGTTTTAAGAATGTTTTAAACGTATATATGTAAATGAGAACTTTATAGTGTTGACAGTCTAAATTTTCGCGAGTTTTATATGCTTTGTCGAAATTTACTGTAGAAGCACTGTAGCAGGGTATTTGTACCTGTAGCAAGGGTATCGATACCTCTGAAGCAATCTGGAAATTTTTTAACTTTAATTACATTTCGCGGTACTGTTCATTACTGTTCGCGGTACTGTTCATACTATATATTACTATTCATAAAATCGTATATTTTCTTAAATTGGTTATAACGAACACAATTCAACAATACATTATCATATTTTCTTAATATAAGTCCAAATGATCTGTATTTTGTTAAGAATATTGTTTTAAAAAGTCAATATGGCATCTCGAACTTGTATTCGGGTCGGGTACGGGTTGGGGTTTTACAGTAATAGTACATGAGGCACTAAAACATGCATGGAGGTTGGGTTTCCGTAAGGTGATTGTAGAATCCGATAATGTCGAGGTATTCCACATGTTATCATCGTCGAATATAGCTGCTCCAAGGATTACCCTTATCGACCATATTAGAGTTTTTATTGAACAAGATTGGAAGATTTGACTTACATTTATAAGAAGGGAGCCGAATTTAACGACTGATATATTTGTGGTCATCCTATTGGTGAATTTTATTTAATAAACCGTCTACTGAAATGGCCACGCTATCATTCCAGGAGGCTGCTTCCTCGTTTCTTTTAAATGTTTTGTTTTTCAGAAAAATAAATAAATAAATGAGTATCCACCCATATAAATATTTATGGATAACTCTAAACTGCATTAATTCTCATTTATTATAAATATATATGCTGAAAAAAAATCAATCTTTTGCGAAAGAGTGTAATCCACCTAACGGGGGCCTAATTTCTGTCCTTACTGGCCACGTAGCCAGTCTGAAAGTATGGTTAGTACAATCGCTTGGGTTCACCTCAGGATTACAATTAAAATTTGTTCGTCTCATCACATGCTATCCAATCAGCTTCTTCCCACTGCCCTGCCACCAGTAGTAGACCTTCGTGATAGAGAAACGAAATTCGAATTATTTTTCAAGATGATGTTTAAAAAGATTATAATTACAGCAAATGAAATATCCTTAATTAATTATTGGAAACTTGTTTCGATATCTTTAATTATTGAAACATTTTAACCAGCGTGAATTTATAAACGTTTTCCATTATATACCATAAAAATAATATTTTAATAAATAATTTAGAATGTATATAATGTTTTTATAAAAAAATTATAAAAATCGCAATATGGATAAATAATTTAGCGTCTCGCAACACCAGCTTGGAGTCGAGATAATAAAGAAAGACACGTCGCAATTCAGTATTAAGCGATTGAGTACGACTCGAAATCAATATTTATTTTTTATTTTTTAATTGTTTTTCTAAATTATGTGCGTCAGTAATTGACTTAAATTCTCGTCACACGTGTCGCATTTCTCTTACAGTATTCGCTTTTATCTAATCATTTCTCCTCCTATTTCTTTTGATCTTTTCTTCTTTCCCTCTTTCTTTTCTCTGTCACTCACATGGAATGGAACCTCTACTTGAAGATGACGAGGAGCAGCGAATCCGCCGAGTCGACTCATTCACCGAACCGGACCTGACTTCAACCAGCTCAAGCCTATCCTCGATACTCAGTGCGGATGATTCTAGAAGCTTGATGAGTTCCGGCGATATATCCGGAACGAGCGGGAGTTCCGGTGAGATTTTAACGGCGGAGGCTGCAGTTCCGAGGTTTCTGGAGCCTGTATCTTCTTGTGAGGAGTTGAAGATGACGGTAACGGCGAGGCAGAAGTGCGTTGGGAGGAATAATAAGGGAGTGACATGGGGGTTCACTTCGGTGATCGGGAATCGAAGAGAAATGGAAGACGCTATCGCCGTTATACCGGCGTTCATATCCCGCTCGTGCGATCACGTCGGAGGTTGCATGGCTCCTGGTTCTAGAACAGCCGCTGAAATCTCCCCTATTCATTTCTTTGGCGTCTATGATGGCCATGGTGGCTCACAGGTAACAAATTTCACTCGCTTTCAATTCAATTTGTGTAGCGAATCAATTTATTTTCCTTAAAAATATTAATCTGTTTGGCTATTTAGAAAATTTTACTGGTTTTAATCTTGGAGAAATCAAAGCATTGATTCGATCAGGGATCACTTGGCTCCATAAAAAGAGGGGGGAGCCCCCTTTTCCCGTTTTCATGGAAATCGAATATTGAGTATTTTTTTCATATTTCTGTAATTTCATATAAATAAAAATATATTTGATGTCAATGATTGGACATAAATAATTGTTTTTGACATACCTGACACGTTCTAAATTCTTAGTGGTTCGCTCTTTTAGCAGAATTTAGAGCGCCTATCCCATCCTGCTATATACGTGTCATTGAAACCACGCCCAAATTTATATCCTGATTTGGTTTTCAGTGCGATTAAGCTTCGCTGATACTTATCGTCATGGTATGGCGTAATGCACATCTCATACGTTAGCAGTTGTAATTAAGTCGAAGGCCATTCATATTCAAACTAAGCTTAACATGAAAATTTCCATTCTCAAAATTCTTTAATGTTTTAGATTTTTTCAATAATTTGAGTGTGTTTTTATTTAAAACATTATTCAGTCATATTTTTCATCTTCATTATTAAATTTATAAATATTAACATAAAAGTAATTATATTTGATAAATAATAGTATTTAATTTCTCGAGTTTTAGATATTTTGGTTGCATTAGTAAGGAGTGAATAAAAAACCAAAGATTCCTTCTGAAAATTTGATTGGATTAGTCGTTCGAGTCTGTTGATCAAATTTCAATGGTATCAATTATTTTTACTATTAATAAATTTCTCTCCTTCCCTTATCAAAAAAGAAAAAAAAATGTCTTAAAATTGAATACAAATTAATTGTTTATTTGGTTGGTGAGTACATGTGTGGAGCCAGAATTAAATATTGGCAGGGACTGAAATATTATATTATTTAAGAAAAGTATAAAGATTTTTAAACTCGAAACTCAGCATGAATCAATCGACCTTAGTGATTAAGAGACTATTGTTATCCTTGAGGTCTCGAGTTCAAGCACTGTGTATGTAGGTGTATGAGCGTTCATTGTGAAATAGTTGAAAGTCTTTGTACATATATTATCTTGTATTCACCTTAAATTTATAAAAAAAACTTAAAATTCATAAGATAACTTTTAATTTGTCAAATATTTAAACTTACAATGACCTAAATTGTAATTATATCAAAATTTGAGAACACATGTTTATCATTCTTTAGTTCGACCCATACTTGATTAAATATTTAATAAATTTCTATATTTTTTAAATTTAAATATTTATTTTTACGTGAACTAAAATACTATTAAATAAAAATTATATCGAATATATAAATCTTAATAGGGGCCGAGCTCCCCTTGGTCCCTAAGGGAGCTCCGTCCTTGGGTAAGTATAAATAAGTTAATTTTTAATAAATTGATTAAAATTTAAATAAAATATATTAAATTTTTTTTATTGTTGGCTTTTTAAGAGGAATATAATTTAGGTTTTTGTTTATTTATTTATTAAACAGTTAGATGATTACATTTTTATATTTAATTATATAAAATCTGTTGAATCTATTGAGTGGAGTTGGTGGTAGAAGACAGTGTTGTTTTTCTTAGAGATCTCATATTTTACCACTCTACAGTACCCATTTGGTATATATTTTTTTATAAACATATTCTTCTAACTTAAAATATTTTCTTTGATTGGAGCGGTGACATGATAAGAGAATATATGTTGTCTATATGTGCGTACCTCTACACTGTACATCAACTGTCTCTAATTATTTTGCACTTGGTGTCAACCCCAATTCATTCTAAACTAAGCATATGAGCTTGAAAGATATATACACTTGAATTATTTCAGTTGAATATCAGTTTATGCTCATTTTACAACATGAATATGAAGTTCTAATTATCTTTTCCTGTATCAATGAATTCTTTTCTTTCCTCGATATGATGCATTGCAACATTACCTTCGCCTCTTTGCACTATATGACAAATAAGATATTATTTTGATGCCATTTGCTAACTTCAACAGTATCTGTAGGTGGCCAAATTTTGTGCTGAAAGGATGCATGGAGTGATAGCTGAGGAATGGGACCGTGAAGTGGATGAGAGCTCTGGGTGGCGAAGAAGATGGGAAGTGGCATTTTCCGGTAGTTTTGAGAGAACTGACAACGAAGTCTCGACTGCAGTTGCACCAGATACGGTGGGATCAACAGCTGTTATCGTAGTTTTATCCGGTTGCCAGATTATTACATCCAATTGTGGTGATTCGAGGGCAGTGCTTTGCCGTGGAACTGAAACAATTCCATTAACTGTTGATCACAAGGTATCAATGGAAAATCCTATAATCTCTGGTTTTCAAAAATAATTTATATTTGATGCGCTGATAGTTCTATAAATTTAAAGACTTTTATTTTCCATTTGTGTTACTGCTTACTACAGCCTGATAGGCAGGACGAGCTCATGAGAATTGAAAGGGAGGGAGGGAGGGTCATAAATTGGAATGGCGCAAGGGTCTTTGGAGTTCTTGCAATGTCCCGAGCTATAGGTTCTTTTTATCTCTACATCCAAGGAAGTGCCGATGCGTTTGACGGAACCGTTATGAAAATTTCAAAAAAAGTTTAACTGTTTTATATTTTTATTTCTGTATTTTAAAATTTTAATTTTTTTTTATTTTTTTTAAAAATATTATAAGTTGTCTCCACCCAAACTTTTGTCCACCCCAATGTAAAATCTTTTGTCCATTAATGTTTACATATGTTTGTCCTTTAACAATACGGTTGTTAATGTTTTTGTGTTCTAGGTGATCGCTATTTAAAGCCATGGATAATTCCAGTGCCAGATGTTACCTTCACGACCAGGACCGATGAGGATGAGTGTTTGATACTAGCCAGTGACGGGTTGTGGGATGTGATGACAAATGAAGAGGCTGGGGAGGTGGCTCGCCGCCTATTAAGACGGCGGAGTAGGAGGTCAGTGATGGCTGATGATGGAGTGTCATCAGCTCAAGCAGTAGCTGACAGTCTCACCGAAATAGCCATAGGAAGAAACTGTTCTGATAATGTTTCTGTCATCATCGTGGATTTAAAATCCAAGAGGAAACGCCAGCCAAGGCAGTGAAAAAAACAAATGGTTCAGGTATTAATTTCCACTACCAAACAGATCCAAAGTTTACTTCAATCAGGTTTGGTTCTGCAAACCACTAATCTTTGCTCTTAACTGGTTTGGCCGAGGGACTGAGAAGTCCATGGGAAAAAATAAAGTAACTTTTAGCCTTTAAATTTATTTATTTTCAATTTAATCTTTTAATTTAATTTTGACCTGCATTCATTTTTTATGTTGATAATATTTCTCTAATTTGATGACATGTCACCTTAATATTGTACCACGTCATCAAAAAGATTAAAAATAGTTAAAAATTCAAATTCAAAAACTAATGTAAAATACAAAATGTTCAAAATCAAATTAAAAAAATTATTAATTACGAAAACTAAAAGTTACTTTAATAAAGAACAATTCAAATAATCATTTTAAAAAGTAAAATTTAGTGAATATGAATTCTGATCCAATATTTTTCATTTTTTGTTATTAGTTATAATCTCATTATATATATAAGGTAAAAATCTACTTAATGTAATTTTTTTTAATTTTACATAAATTTAAAATCGTTAAATGAGTAAAAATAGAGGATTGAGATTAACTTTTTTTTCCAGTAAATATATTCTTACTTTTACTGTTAATCTTATTTATCCATTTTTTCTCATCTAACGGTCTTAAATCTATATAAAACTAAAAGAATTTTAAATTATGTAACTACGTGCTGATTTTATGAGTGGCGTGAGATACTGAGATCTATTGTCTTATTGATAATTTATAAAAATACGATAAAATGAAGATTTGAAAATCCATTTCACGGATCACTCAAATAAAAGGTCAACGAATTCTAAACATGGTTATCAAAATCAGACCGGACCGGCCGGTTGAACCGGGAACTGGTTGCCTGTCCGGTCCGATCACCCTATAAAATCAGTTTGGCAATGAACTGGTCAAGAACCGGTGTGAACCGGCCGGTTCAACCGGTTCTGTTTTTAAAAAAATTAAACCAAACGATGTCGTTTGTTATGATTTTTTTCAGCCCCAAATTTATTTTTTAATAATGATGATTGATACTTGTATCAATTATATACTTTTTTATTTACTTGTATTAATTATATATATTTTTTTATTTAGTTTTCTGATTTGAACCGGAATACAATATCCTTAGATTTTCCTTTACCCCGGAGAGAAGACCCCTTTACAGTTTACACTACTTTTCTTTCGGGTCTTAAACCCATACATATAAAGAATTCTATTTTATTTCTTAGTTTTTGTCCTAGCGTGGAGCAAGTTGGAATGGGCACATAATTGGACTTATTAAAACTAATAACAAACAATTTACAATTAGTAATGTGATATGTCCTTTAACATTATTTGGATCTGCAAAACTTTTTGTTGTACTCGATTCAATTCTTAATTATATAATATATGATAATAATAATAATATCATATCATATGCCAACGATAATTCCTATGCAAATCATCAAAAATGACACCATTCCAAGGCTTTTCTATTATTCGTGTGCTTACTCTTGTTCTTGTATATTATGATTAAAAGGCATGTGCAAGGGATGTGTTTGATTAAAAAATCGTGCTCATGCAACTTTAATGCTCCAACCAAGCGTGGGTTTTAATAAATAAAAAATTAAATCGGATTAGGTTAGATTTACTTGATTTGAATATTTTTTTCCATTTGATTTTATGGTATTTAATTTATATATGTTATAGACTTGTGATATTTTTATACATTTTAATATTGTGAACTTAAAAAGAGTGCTATATATATATTAATATTGCTTTGAATATTATGTAAAATTAAAAAAAAATATTTTATATAAACCGGTTCAATCCTGTTCAACCACGATTAAACCAATAAATCAGTACCTTCACCGGTTTAAGGTCCGATCCGGTTTTAAAAACATTGATTCTAAACGTTCATCGCCATTTCATCAAACAATTCAAGCAAAGCAATGGTCACTTAAATCTTTAAGATTACTTCTTATTCTCGATGAGCAAAGATCAAAAACTCGAAAGAGAAGTTTGCGTATCCGGAGACGAGTATTTATTCATCGGTGTCGTGGTGTTGATCCTCCAACACCATGAATGGATCAAGCTTGTAGCGATGAAGCTTCCGGCTACAAGCAGGCACTCATTGAATTTGATCCGTTACCGATTATACACACCCCGAATGACCGTAACTTAAGGGTTTGGTGGCACGAACCCTTGGGTAGGAAGATGCAAAGAGCTTGTAGTTCGCAAAAGCTGAACATATACAAAATCAAAATAGTTTGATTCTTTGATATACCTTAAGTTTGGCCATCTTTAAGATTCATCGGCCTCGGTGTATTGCGAGTGAGATGCTGCCAGGAGGGCTGCCCCAATGCCAGAGCCGTCGTTGGAATGTTCGATGACGATATTGTTAGAGACCTCTTTTCCTAGCAACTCCACGAGGGTGTCCTCCATGCAGGTCCGGAATTTAGTGTAGTGTTCATACAATCCACCATCTAGAGATATAACTGACTTTTGCTTTTCGCCGTCTTTCATGATGTCTCTTCCGATTTTCTTGAGGATGCCAACGATTCCTGCAGCAGATAGGCGAGCACCACGAGAAGCAACAATGTCGCACAGCTCAACAATTACTTTTCTCATTTTCAGGGACGTATTTGATATCTGAAATTAAAACAAGAAACATGAAAAACCCATTAAAGCCGTGGATTCACATAATAAAAGCTACAGTGGAACTTCTTTCCCTCAAGAAACGTGAAGCAAAGCGGCTAAAATGATTTACCTCTAAGATATCCTTTAGTTTCGTCGCCACAATTTTCAAATCCGGAGACGTGTCATGATGCATTGCAGACATGTGAGGAGTTCTGCAGAATAAACAGATCAAAGTTAACCACTGTCCAAGTTCTCATCACATCCAAAAGTTGAAGACTACTAAACTAAATATTGCAGAAATGATCATCTTATGGATTCAAATTGAACACACTTAAACAAGTAACTTGGTCCAATACATATAAGCTGCCTAAAATTCAGTAACCAAACATATCAATTTACCAAACCGGATTTAGATCAGATTAAGATTAGGTCGGGTTAAGGCTCTACATGTTATTATTATCCCAAGTACGAGGGCATACCAGTCAGCCAATGATGAGTTTGCAAGAAAAGGCTCACATTTGAAAATGGATGAGATAGCTAGCTACATGAATCTAAGCTCCATTGAAAAATACGGCATGGAAAAATTATAGTACTCTACTGCACACCTAGTGAATTATAACCAGTGAACGTAATAATGACATACCTAAGTATAAATGGAATTTTTAGTTTTGCCGGAACAGTATCGCCAAAAAATGCAGCTTATTCAGCCATCTTGCACAGAACTCTACGCATAATCTCTCCCAAATACATACCAGAAATAATTTTTTCAAAAATCTGTGAACAGTATTGAATAAAGTTACATATAGCATACAAAAAATTAACAAGTCAGAAATAGAAACTTTGGCTGAAGAAAGTGACCTGTTCTCCAGGGTTTAGACTCTCAGCATCTAATGCTTGGTCATATTATGTTACAGGAAGATGCGAAGATCGAAAGTTACCCCACTCCATGTTGATAACCTGCAGAAACGAGGAAAAGGTTTCGGAACTCAACATAAGGTAATAGTTACCTCCTGATTAAGATTCGTGTGTGTATCAGATTCTAACAGAAGCAGAGAATATATATCTTAACAGTTAACACTGCTTACCATGTCCCCCGATTTAGGTAGAAGACCGTGCCATTTGGGAATTGCATGGGCACGCTCTACATAAGCTGCGTTTGTGCCTGTACCCAATATAACAGCAGCAACGACATCTGGGTTGTTGTATCTCCCACCAGCCAACGTGCCAATTGTATCATTGACCTACATATTCCACAACATAATTCGGAATACGAACTTAAACCATTATCCGAGTAGAAGAACCAGTCACATCCATCTATGAAAAAAAAAAAAGCACACACAACAGTAGACACAAATTAGACTCACCAAAGCTGTCACACGCATGTCAAGGCCAATCCTTTCCATGGCTTTGGTCAATTCTCCAACAACATCTTGATCGACCTACACGTACACGCAAGGAGAAACATTAAGACTATACAATACACACTCCAGGAGTTATAATATATAGACAAAAAACATTACAATATAAAATTCTGAATATCATTTGTATGCTTTCCAGGCCACCTATAAGAACTAGTCCCCAATCAAGTTGTTGATTAAAACAGCATGGCCCAGTAACACAAAATATGAAGATTTTGAGAAAAAAAGTGGAAAACTAAGATCAACATGCCGTCGACTTAGGAATGACAAAATAGGATAATAATGACAAGGAAGAGGTTCAAATTCCATAAAATGTGGACAAAAGAAGATAGAAAATTAACACCTCATATCAAACTACTAAAAAAATGCTGCATAACTGGAGTCAAGGTTACTAGAATTAACTGTATCATCTATCGAGAAGCCCTTTGTCCATTTTATAAGAGTCCCGGATGATATCGATGTCTGCCGAACAGGAAACGAGAAAGTAAACCCCAGCTCCCTTTGTCTATCAGGTGAAAAATGTAAACCCTCACTCTCTGTAGCAACAAATTTTGCAAGAGCTGAAGCAATATAATCAAACAATGCCTGCAATCACATCATAGAGTTTCAGAGAAAAGAAGAAATATAGGAGGATTAGATACTGATAAGATGGATGGAGAAGGGTCTCACATCAGGAGAACCCGTCATCAAGTGTGAAGGAATCGAAACTTCCTCAAATTCCTGCTTGACCACACGGTGTTCTTTACCACACAAGTGTACACGTAGCACACGGAAATTCGTGCCACCAAGATCGAGAGCATATTACAGCCCTTTCTCATCGCTGGATAGTAAAGCACATAAGATGAGAAATGTTAGTTGAGCTTTCTACCAACGTAAAAATCTAGAAAAGTAGAATCTTTGGCAACCCTGCAAAATTTTACGACAGTTGGGGTTTATGTTTTAAGGTTATCCATTCATAAAATCACCACTTCTTTTCACTTGAATGTTGATAAGATAGTTTAAGATATGATAATGTAAAGTTCATTGTAAAGCGTAATTTACGGATCATCTTCTTCGAACCAATTCTTTCACAATTCAAGATATCATAAGACAAAGTCAACATAGAAGGAACCATTGGCAAGATAATTTTTTTTTTACAAAAGCTTTAACAAAAGCATTAAAGAAGGCACCTATACAAAATGACCAGAAATTTATGTTGTTCCTACCATTGGCAAATATCTATATGTGGTTCACGTCAATATCGGAGTCACAAAGACGATATCCCGAGTAACAAAGATGGGAATATACTTGAAAATAATAATAAAAAAAAGGTTAGCCAAGCTAGAGACAGTAAGCAACGTGTTAAAACATAAATTATTTATGAAATGAAAGCAAAGGGTGGATAATGTAGATTAGAATCGATATAGAAATAGCTTCTCCATAAGCTTAAATGATAAACCATCAATATAATATTTTTATAACACGTATTGTAACTTGTAAAAAATATTTTTATATATTTTAATCACAACTTTCTCATTTTATAAAATTTTACAAGAAATATATTGATTTAATTCTATAAAAAATCAATATAATATAAAGAACACTTTCGGAACGGATATCTGTTCAAGATCTAAAGTCAGAATCGAGGCTAAAGTACTAAACAAAATTCGTATTAAATAAAGCCGGGACGAATTTTTTTTATATTTTGAATATAGCAAGATCGAATTGAACCATCTTAATTAAAACGACAAAACCAGAAATCTCCGAAGCTTCTTTACCTAATTTAGTTAACTTTCAATCACAAATCAAACATTTCTACATTTCTACAGTAATCAATCAAGGGACCATCTTTATGCAATCAATTGAAACATTTAAAGGAAACAAACCATTCCAAAAGTACCGGAAGCTAAATTTCAAAAGGGGGGAAAAAGTTAGTTCATTGAGTTGATTAACCCAGTGGGGAGATTATCGACGTAGCTGATGATCATCTTGAGCTTGCTGCCGCCTTCCGATGCAAGTCCGGCGTGCATCTCGACGGTCATAGCATCCGCCACCTGTTTCAGCTTCGGAATTGGGGTCCCGCACTTTTCCTCGAACTCTTTCAGTATAGATACAGCCTGGGCCCACTTCCCCGAACTCTTCATCCTGTGACGCACCACTAACGCCGCCGCAGCACACACGGCAGCCGCGCACACCACCGCCGCGCACACCGCCACTTTCCCCATTGCAGAAACGAGTAAAATCCGCAATTACAAGTCAACTTCAGCAATGAAATGAAGCGGCTTTCTTGAGAAAAGCGAAGATAACGATATTTTATTTATAAAAATAAAAATAAAATTGTTATATTTGCAAGAAATAAATATTGTCTGGACACTGTAGGCGTATGTATGTATTTGTAAGAAAAAGTGAGAAGATATTTAAAAGTGAGGCGTAGGGAAAATGGACATAAGTTTGGATTACAATTACGATAATGACCCTTCAGTTCTGAGAGTTCAAAGGAACGACAGCAGTTCGGTTTCGCCTGATTTGCACGTGCGTATTTTTTGCATTTTGGAATCTTTTATGGACTTGTACGTCACTTCCGTTTGTGTTTATTTTTCATAAATGTTTTAGATTAGATTATTTATTTACATATTAGTGCATCCGCTATTATCGATAATATACACTTAATTTCATATTAATTGAATATAGATTTTTAAGTATTTAAATATATTTTTAAAAGTATTATTGTTGAATAATTAAAATAAAAGTTTATATAAATAATGATGTGATATTTTTAAATACGTTTAAATAAAATTTAATATTTTGAATCCTTTTAAATATTCTGTTTAGATAAAATTATTGTTGAAAATGTTGGATCCTTCTCTAAGTAGATTTAAAATATTAAAGATTAGAATCATTAAATATATATATGGAATGATTTTCTATAATGTATATTGATTTTTATTTTTTTATAAAAATATTTTAATGATTTTACTCATTGAATTAATATAAATTAATTTCATTAAAATCAATCAAGAATTTAAATATAATAATTTTAATAGCGTTAAAAATGATTATTTAGCAAAATTCACTGCTTTGTATCTTCGAAATTTGTTGATGCTTGAACTGTAGATCTGGGAAAGTAGCATACGTACATTTCAGTTCCACTAAAAACGGGATCCCATAAAAGAGAAAAGGTTAAAGTGCTGAAAGACCCTGTTTAATCACAAGACATATCAAGCCCAACATGGAATGATGGAAGTAGGGACCGGCTCCAGTTATTTTTTGATTTATTTAAACTCGGTTTTTGAGTACTATATTTTTATTTATTATGTAATTTAATTTGATTTTTTTAAAAAAAATTATTATTCATTTTTAAGATAAAAATTTCTAAATGATTTAATTTCATCTGATTCAACATATATATATATATATATACATATTTATATATTAATTTTTTACTTTTATTTCTCAAAATAGATATTTATTCAAAAAAATATAAAGAATGACATTATTATCATCATCTCTAAATATATACAGAGCAATTATACTATTATCTTAGGTCAAATCTATAATCTTTCACCATAATCCCAAATTCAATCCAAATTAAGCTATATTAATAGCCAAAAAAAATCGATTGTAAAATCAAGTCGAAACTCATCATATCTCAATCCAAAACCCATCCCCATCCCTAGATGGAAGCCTTTAATTTGCATTCTCATGCTATAATTTTGTCTTACACTTTTTATTTTAACTCATTAGTTATATGATCGAATGTATTTTATATTAATAGTCATATCAACATTCAAATCAGTTTTTCAGCTAATTCAATAATTCCTTACTTTTTTCAGTATTCCAATGTCGCAAAAATAAACCGAAAAAGATACACCTATAATCTCGTACAAAACCAGAACTTGCTTAATGGAATAAAGAATCAGATTTATTCTTCCCCTGCCTCCAAATTAGTTCTCAGCTATCTCCATTATTTCAAAGTGCTTCTCACTGGTATCATTGGATGTTCATTCATTCCCAAGCTGACATATTAAACCCATTCTCCTGCTCCAGTTTAGGTTTGGTATATTTTTGTGTGGAATCTTCACTAAAGACTGAACTTTCAGAAGTCGTAACATTATTCTCTGTTTTTTTTCCTGATGATCCCGAAGTTTCACCGATTTCAGAAATCTGATAATTAAGAGCAAAATCCTGAGATTCTCAAATTACTGGCATTACAACAAGTGTACATATAAAAGTGATGGGTTTGTTTTGGTTTCTAAAGTTGAAAACCATCTCTCTTTAAAATGCACATGCAAATGGCAATATAATGGAAGAGATGCAATTTTACATTTCAGCTTATACTAAAGCCCGAATCAGCATATAGAAAGGCACATCTTAGACATCATTTGAGGAGGCTTCGTGTCGAAAATCCCGTCTCTATATAGCAGTCGACTGCAAGAACCGAGGACTTGTTTAAATCAAAATTTACCATATTCGAACTGCATACACGAAACTCATGTACTCGCACACACATCCATGTGTTACGGGCTTGGAATTTTCGCCTAGTATGACTGTGTGGGCATGATGATGCTTGTGCTTCTGTTTGCATGCATATTTACTTCTTGGGTGACTTATGTTTTGGAAGAAAATTAATATATACCTGTTTATTCCTGTGGTAGAAGAGCAATCTCGATTTCTTGAAGAGTTTTCCCTTTGGTCTCGATTACATTCTTTTTAACAAAGACTACAGCCATCATGCAAACACTCGCGAATATTGAGTATAAGAGTTGTGGCCCAAGTTTCTCAAGCAAGCCCAGGAAGAGCAAACCTACGAAGAAGTTGAATACCTGAAGAGCAATGCAAAAGCAATACAGAAAACTGTCGGAAGATAGCGGTAATATTCCGTTTGCATTTATTGCAAAAGCTGTTACAATTGCAAGGATACAGGTTCATGTTTGGAAGAAGAGAAAGAAAACAAGCAATGGTGAAAATGAAAGTGAAGCGAGAAAAAAAATTACCCAGTATACTGACATACAAAATGCCACAGCTTCTGACCTAATTCGACTAGGGAAGATTTCTGGTAATAAAAGACTGGGAACAGGACCAGCTCCTAGTGCAAATGTAAAGACAAACCTGCAGTGTTAAAAATTGGTCAATATCAAGAATGCCTTCAAGCAACCAAGGTTGACATTTTACGCCCTCGGCAATTTATACTTCCATTTTCCACAATGAAGAACATAACCAACTGCTAAAAGTTATGCTTCATGGTTTATGGGTGTAATTAGACTAAAATTAGATTATTTGATAATCTTTTCACCATTTGCGGAACATCAGTTTCACATCTCAGTTGTTGCTTATTCCATTGTCAGCCAGTGGCTCGGGTCTGAGGAGTGAGGACACAAGCATATTTAACTTACAACCAAGATTAGCTTTTCAACTACAACTTCCACAAATTTTGAGTACTTTCCGCCAATGCCTGAAGCCACCATATAGAACCATGGTGTCCAGAGATATTAAAAGCAGATAAATTATAGTAATACTTACATTAGCATGCCACCAACTGATAGGTATAAAGATGCAGAGCCTGACACAAAAGCATTTGCAGCAGCGACTTGAAGGAGCATTGATATAGCCTGAGTAAATGAAATGAAAAATCAATTTCATTCACAGAAAGAGAATTAGCATTTGCTTTTAGCAGAGCCATGCTTAACATATCATTTTCCTGAAGTTCTCATGTCTGACAAACTACATACGACACATATTCAAGCATCAGTATGGAGATATGATCTTCCAAGTATGAGAAATTTAAAAAATATATATATATATACCCATGTTAGATACGTATCCTATCCCACACTCAACCCAAGTACAATAGTGTAATCTAAAACTGTACTTCTAAATTCCTTCTTATGAATGATATAGTAGCTTCTTTCACTAAAAGAAGTCACCTTCATTTTATTTCAAACGAGAGCTGCATTGAATAATTTAAGCTAGCGGGGCTATCGGCTGTTGGCACAAAAGACAAAACACGTAGTAAGGCATTAACGGATATAAATTCTAATTTGCATGGGCAAATAGTACGTCTTTCTTATCTTCACCAGAGACATGTTACATAGCTATCCTATGATTCTAGTAACGAATGAAAGGGCCTTCCTGAAAATATCAGTGAAACTGGTATTTACCATTCCAAAGAAGCTCCACAAAAGGAGCATTTTCCTTCCAAGTTTATCCATTAAAAGCATGGCGATGACAGATCCTGCTTGAAGGAAAAATCAGTATCATGCGATGAAGCCAAATGCCAGAATACAATGTTGACAGAATAATAGGTATACCTAACAAATTTGCAACTCCAATTAACACATTTGCGAAGTCTGATGGTACTCCCGCACTTTTAAATACAGATGAAGAGAAATAAAATACAGCATTTATCCCAGATAGCTGTTGTAAAGCAAACAGGATTGACCCAATATAAACAACTGCAAAAGGAGAACATGAATAACAAAGCCCAAAAGGAAAGAAACAAAGCAGAACTGGAAGTGACCGTAGGTGCTGCAGTAGTAAAAGCAACTGTGGACACTGAAAAGAACTCAGAAAGCCTTTTTACAAGCATAGAAATAAATGGTTTACCTCTAAAATGGCGGCCATAGAGCAATTCTGAGAGTTTTACAGTGTCTGCTGCATCCCCCCGGTCCAATTTGGTTAATTCTGCCATGGCATATTTGACATGTGGTCCACCTAAAAGCCTCTCAAACTCAGCTTCAGCTTCAGCACTTCTTCCTTGCTTTGTGACACCATCAAGGGAATAAAATCATCTTAGTCATAAGCTTTAATAAAAAGGAAAATCTGCTTTTATTGAATTCAGTCATATGGCACCGGTGGTGGCACATCTTGTAAAAGTAACGGGTGAGCAGTTTTTATGTGAAAAAAGTTGTAAGAATAAAATAATACGAGAGGAAGGGATACAAATTGAAAGTGATTTTAAACAAAGAATTGCATCCATAAATAGGGGTGCGTGTACGCATGGAGAAGGTGATTATATCCATGACATGAAATCAGATGATGAGATTATTGCAAAGGGGAAAATTATAAGAACCAGTATCCAAGGCTTTGATTGAAAGATCGTATAATTCTACTAAGATTGACATGGGAAATAATTTTGCAATTACAGATAATATAAGCCAGTGAGTGAACCTTATATAACCAATGTGGACTCTCAGCACAAAATATCATGAAAAATGCAAGAAATCCAGCGGGAATTGTGGAGACCCAAAAGCAAATGCGCCACCTGAGACAATTATGCAAGAAGTCTGAAAGCAACATATGATTTACAGGAATTATGATCCTTAAGAATGATTCATACCAGCCAGCAATTGCTTTGATGGGGATCCCAATAAAAAGAGCCCCCATAAGTCCCAGACATGTTGCAATCTGGATGAAACTTCCATAAGTTCCCCTTACAGAGGCAGGGGAAACCTACACATATTTAGTACATGATGAAACAACAGTTTATGTTCATACACAAAAGAGAGAGTGTTATATAAGTCGATGATTAATGCAACATAAAAATAAACGGTATGAATACCTCTGTCACATAAAGAGCCAGAACAGATGGACCAAGTCCCATTCCAGTCCCAACTAAGAGCCTTCCAATGAGCATACCCGCCAATGTTTTTGTTGTTGCACTAAAATCAATTTTTTTGTCAGACCAAAACCTTATAAATTCAGACTTTACGAAGTGAACCAAAAAGAAAAGAATGGTGAAGGGAAAGGATGAGTAAACCAAAGTATCTAAAAACACTGAAGCAAGGATTCCATAGAACACATATATTAACTAGTTCAATACATGGACTCTACACAACTAAAGATTCCAGAATAAAAAGGCATTATAGGTCAAAATAGAAGAAACGTATTTGTCTAACATCAATCAATCAAGGTCCTAGCAATTCTTATTTCATCCAAGATAGTAAAGTTGACATCAGACATAAGTTTTTCTCAAGATTATAAAATATATATCTAATAATCTTTCTAGGATATAAACATGTAACAGTTTAATTCACGCCAGACGAACAAATATATTAAAAGAGGGAAAGGCATAAATTCAAGTCACGAGTTATATTATGAGAAGAAATAGAGATAAATTTAAGATCATAACACAAAAAATAATCCTTAAAAGCATTTGATTGGCATTGCATATCACCTTATGAAAGCACCCATAATCATAGGCAAAGCACACAACTGAAATGCCCTACGACGTCCAACACCATCAGCAATCCAACCACTGCACAATGATCCAATAAGGGCACCGCCTAAAGATGTGCTCACCACCAGACCTATAAAATTAAAGCCTATCATGTTAAAATTCTAGACTCTAGATGCAAACGTCAGAAAGAAAGGGAAAAAAAGGACAGGGAGTTAAATGTCACCTTCAGCCAGAGTATTCCCATTGAAACCTAAATCTAAGGAGATGCTTTCAAGCGGTTCATTAACTACACTGTAAAGAATGGCCAACATGCAAACAATTAACATAATTATCAAAACAAATAACAAGAAAATCAGAAAAATGAAGATGGCAGTAATAGCACACAAACCCAAGGTGGTAGCCAAATAGGAATGAAGCTAAAGTTGCCACTACTACATGTGGGAACGAAAGCCACCATGAAGGATCTGTAGTTTGTACATCCATGTTGTTCTGTGAGTGAGCTAAAAGAACACAAATAGTTAAACACTAAAATTCTTCTTAAATACTTGAATATTGTAATGATTTAAAAAAATTCAATCAAAAGTTTTCCCAAGTTTCCCACAAATTAGTCAGGTTCCCTATAACGAATGTAATTTTTTAAATCTGTTTTCACATTGCGGATAACAAAATGCAAATTTCTCAAGAGTCGGTTAAAAAGAGAGCCAAACAATTCTGCCATTAGTTAATAATTCCAAAGTGCTGCCATCGGTTAAAAATTCTGCATACAAAATTTGTGAAGACCTATTGTGGTGGAGCAATAAGGTGAGCACTTCAGGCAATTAGAATCAAACTGAAGTTTGTTGGTTCAGGGTCTATCAACTCCGCAACCATGGCTGTGCAGAAACCCTCAGCTAGTCAACAGATAAATCTACCTGAATTCTCTTCTACATCCGTTACAGCTGAATGATCTCTAGATGGCATCCTCTTGTACGTTGAGAATGCTCGGCCTTCACGATCCCACATGCCAAATTACAGCAGCCAGATCCGACTTCCAAATCACTTGACCTTACTAGTTTTTAAAGAACTGCACTATATATTTCATGTTGCACATAAATTAGCATTTAAAATAAAAAAAAATCCGCTTTCCTTCATTCATTAAAACACTCATTTAACATAAAAGCTTAGTTTCTTTGCTTGCATCAGAATTTGTTATAAAGGTCAAACAGATTAAAGTTCAACACCTTATAATCCATGCTAATTTCCAACTAAAAACAAGGTTAAATGAGATCTTCAAGCGAATTTATGATCTACCGTCATACAAAGATTGATCTAAATGATAATCATTTAGCATCAGTAAACAACTTAGCGTAACAGATTCAAGCTCAACAGCTTGTGATCCATGCTAATTTCCAGCTAAAAACAAGGTCAAATGAGATCTTCAAGCGAATTGTGTAATCTACCGTCATTCAAAGTTTAATATAAATGATAACTGTTTAGCAGCAGTTAATTAAATAGAGGGAAATACTATCCTCTACTGTTATCATAATGACACCGGATTTTTCTTTCTCCATTTTCGTTCATCCGACACCGGAAAAATAAATTGGTACAACGAAGTTCAAAATTAAGTTAACTTCTACCCGTACAGATCTCACTCACTTCATTTCTTATCTTTTTTCCTCTATATTCTAAACAACTAATCAGAAGAAAAAAATGAAAAACACAGGATCTAAAGAGTGAAGTAAACTAAACCTACGAATTACGAAATTAAAAGGAAACACGTTTATCAAGTTCAAAAGTAAAAATGATCAGATCACAGTAGAAACAGAGTGACGAAACCGCCATTCTAAAGAAATCAAACGATGACTGAAGCTAAACGAACCAAGTATTCGGTCAAAAAAGTTCAAATTAAACTCACCTTGCTTAGTATGATTTGCTAGATTTTGCCGAGTGAAATCAGCACAAAATTTTTGGGATACTACGACTGTAATGTAAAGAAAATTCTCTGGGGGAGATAAATAAAGAAGAAAACTCTCGAGCAATAGGAACAAATAACGAAACTTTGCTTAATCTGAGGGAAAAAGGTAGGTGCTATCGTGCGCCGGGTGAGGTGTTATAAATGTAGAAAACGCAATTTATGGTCTCGGCGTCAGTCCTGTAGGAGAAACATCGTGGGGAATTTACAATTGTTTTGTTTTTTCTTCTCAGGTGGCGACATCTGTCCTTAAAACGAAAGGTTAAAAACAGGTCGATGGAGGAAGACAATATTGGGGTAGTTTAGTCATTTAGTGTGCCGATTTTAAGTTTTTATAGGGTACCGGGGACACGCGGCGAGAGTTTAGAATTTTAGAATATTTAATATTGTAATTATAAGGATTGTGGGTGGAAGAGTAAGCTGGAGGTATATATTATAAATTATTATTACTATTATTTATATATATATATTATCAACAAGAGCCTTGATTAAAGAAAGAGGAGAAAGAACCGAATCCTAAAGATTATTCTACTTACCGAAATAACCCATAATAGTTTTTTTAAAAAATAATTCAAAACTAAGTTAATGATTACTTTATAATTCAATAATCTTGACTTAATTTCTAAAAATACTTTAATCTAGCTTCTCCCGCCTCCCCTTCTTTTTTTTCTTTCTTTTCTTTAGAATCTATATATTAGATTAATTTTTTCGTTCTTGATTTTTTTAGCCGGCAGTGGTAAGAGTTTTAATGTTGGTTCACCGTTAGTTCTTTTCTCTCTTTATTTATTTTTAAATTTTTTAATAAGAATAATTATATATATGTGATCGTTTGATCGTTCTTTTTATTTAATGTTTTCTCAGAGTTAGATTTTACGATACCACGATTAATCACGATGATGCTTATTTGTAATACAATTGATCTTACTTGCTATAGATCATCGAATTAAATTTGGATACGTAATTTTGCTTTCGTGAATAGTTCTCACGATGCTCAGCTTTGATTTGCAGTTCTAGATAATATTTCAATAACTTAATCTCCTTTTGTGGTTCGTTTATTGTGTATATTTTTTGTTCGAGTCTTTTGGTTAGGTTTTTAACCTTTTTCTATGTATGCCCTTGTACTATCTAAAATGACTAGTTTCAATGTTATAGGAAAATATTCAAATTATGTATTTAGTTTACGATGATAATTATAAACTCTTATTGTAATTTTAGATGTTCATCTTTAAATAAGACTAGAGGTTTCTATTAAAAAAAGAGAAGAAAGTTACAATAAAACGGGTCAAATTAGAGAATAAATGGGTCACTATAAGTTCAGACAATCTGGTTACTACTTAAACTAACCCTCGTTGGTAATATTTGAATTGTTATTGATTTAATGTAAGACATGTTTATTTTTAGGGTAATGTACACAAATGGTCCTTTGATCATAAAATATTATTTTATTGAGTCTCATGACTATTAAAAGTTACAAAATGATCGTCTAATTATTCATTATCAAACTAGTCATTTTCTTTTAAAAAAATTAATGACAATCTGAGTTGGACGTTAACATGCTGACTGAGATATGATAAAATCTAATCTCACAATATTGTCATATATCAATTAGCATGTTAACATTAAGCTCAAACGAACATCAATTTTTGACGAAAAATGATAAGTTTGAAACATAATGATGTTCGGGTGACCATTTTATAACTTTTAATAATCGAGTGACTCAATAAAATAACTTTCTATAATCGATGACTATTTTACAATTTTTAATAGATAAAATATTTAACAAAATAATATCTTATAATCGGAGTACCATTTACGTTCTTTACTCTTATTTTTAGTGATGTTGTATATAAAGTTTAAATGTGTTATATCCTTAAAACTGCAATATATCTCACTAATATATCCAACGGATGTTGATCCGACTAAAATGAAAATAGGGTAAATCGTATTGGTATTCACTAAACTTTTAAAATATTTTTATTTTGATTGCCAAACTTTTAAAACTTACATTAAAATCACTAAACTTTAATTTGATTTCATTATTGTCACGATTATTAGTTGTCATCAAGAATACTGACGTGGTATGTTAAAATCTTCTACAAAAAAGATTAATTTTTCAAATTAAGAATCATGACAAATGTTGAGTTTTTTATGAACATAATACTTGTCGATCAATCTTACATCAAGAAATTTTGTTTGGTCATAAGTTTAACATAGTTTAGTTTAAAATTGATTTTGACGATTAACAACAGTGGATCATAATTTTTTTTCTTTTTTTATTCTTTTCTTGTTTGATCAAGTAGATAAGTGTTTTCATTTTCAAGGTAAATATCAGGATTCAAATATACACAAGATGAGACAACATGAGCGTTCTTGACCACTCGATCAATTAATGGATCTCATATTCTTCTTATTCTATTTCTTTCCTTTTAAACCCGTCGTAAAACCTTCCAATCTCCTCAAAACTCAATTGACACTAAAAGTTACAACTTCTTAGATCAATTTGAAACCAAACTATATTAATATTTTGACCAAATAGATCCTTCTCATCATTAAGATTAACCAACAAGTGCTTCGTTCATTGAAAATTTAGCCTTTGTGCAAATGTAAACTTGAAACATTAGATTTTTTTGAAAGAATACTTTAACATGCCATATCAACATTTATCTGACAACAACTAACGATGGTGACTTTATTGAAAACGATGAAAATTTTAGTGACTATAATGCATGTTTTAAAAGTTCAATAAACAAAGTAAAAGTGTCCTAAAAGTACAATAACTAGTAGGGTAATTTACCCATAAAAATAAAATATCACTTCTATTAATTGATTAATTGATCGAGCAATCAAGGATACTCATATTAGCGTAACTTATATGGATTTGGATAACTGCATTTGTCTTTAAAATATAATCTCTCTCTACTTAATAAAAAAATATCTCATGAAATTTTTAAAAGTCAATTTTTACAACTTCAATCATAATTATTTTACAAATTTTAAATAATTAAATTTTATAAAATATATATTTAAAAATTATTTGATTAAATACTTTTAAAATATGTATTTTATATTATTTTTAATAGTAAAATTTAAATAATAAATAGTTAAAATTCAAGTTTTTTAATTAAATTTATTAATAAAAATATTTATAATGAAACAAAAGAACATGAAAACGAATAAACAATTAATTTAAAAATAAACTAAAATAATTTGTAAAACCAATCTATCTACCCGATTATCAAATTTAAAAATTGTTTTTTAGGCAAATTTAAAATTTGTTAACCCATCATACTAATAGAATATTCCCATTCTTAAAACTAATTATTTTGAAACCCAATAAATTGAACCGAACCAACTGCTTCCGATAAGTTCCTCAATTTAAAATACGTTGAAACAGACCAATACAGTAGTACTCACCCCTATAAATAATTAAAATTTAAAAAATAAAAAATAAATACGGTAAGCAGCCAAAACTAGGGAGCAATTTTCAAAGAGTCCTCTCCAATGTTACTCCACCTTCTTAAAAAAGTCGGATGCTGAAATTGAATTGCTCATAGTTTTCGTTTTCTTCCTTTTTCTTGACCGATAAACAGTGACTTCGAGAGAACAAAGATTGAAGGTGAGACAAGGGTTTTTTGATCTTTGAGAAAGGGATTAGTAGCAGTGTTATTCTTTCTTTTTTGGTCATGGAAGATGAGAAATCGACGGTCATGATGGCGAGTAGAGATCGAGAGCTTCTGATCCCAGTCGCTGATTCCGTCCATGATGATTCCCCTAAACCGTCTTCTTCCTCTTCCCCGCGTCATGCCGGCCGCGAGGTTTCTTTTGCTCTCATTTCCTTTTTTTTAAATTTGAATTTCTCTTTAAACTGTTATTTAATTCGTCTGACTTGGTCTTGAGCTGTTTATGCTTCTAAATGTAAGGCTGTAGTTACAAATTTCAAACTAATAGAGCTTAACCAGATGTTGTTTGAATAACTTTGTTGTTAACAGAGAGTAATTGGACGTTGCAGATCGATTTTCAATTGAGAGACAGTGATTCTAGAAGACTTATGGAAATTGACCTTTTCATTTGTGTTTGACTTTGTTTATTGATTGAGGATTGAGCATAATTTACTGATTCTGTTAAAAATGAGGAAATGGTATTTCCTTTCATATTCTATTTGGAAAGCTGTTATCAGAGTACGAGACCATTTGGGGGATTAACATAACTGAAACCTGATAGGGATTTTCCTACATTTGTGATAATGACCACCTTTCCGTTTAGAGGCTTTCATATGTATCTGTGTCTTATTTTTTCAGCTTAAAATGCTGAGGGAAGCATGTTAAAGCTCATGACATTGAGTACTCGGTAACTTGTATAGATGGATTGAAGCCCAGCTGTTAATGCACTTGAATGAATAAATTTTGGGTTTAGAGTTACAGGCTTAAATTCGAAGTAACCCTTCTTTCTTTTTTTTGACAAAACGAAGTAACCCTTCTGCTTATGGGACTTGATGACGTTGTATTTATGGGTTGATGATGGTTTGGGTGAAGTCCTGAAGAAAATAGCTATGGCTCCTAATGAAATCTTTGGAAACAATGTTTTCAGTTCGTTGCCTATACATGCACTATATGATCGTGCTTATCTATGTACTCATGTAATGAAGTGTGTGCATTTCTTTTAAATATGCTGACAAGTTTTGTTTTGTGCAGACCTTTTACAAAGTTGTTAGGAGTTGGGCTTCTAAGAAGTTCATGACAGGATGGTAACTGTCGTTCTTACATATCCATACTTTAGATTTATGATCTCATGATGGATATTTGTCTAACTATAATCTTTATGGTATTTCCTTGTGAATAAATTCACATGTTTAGATGGAAAGAGTATAGAAATGTTTACACTAGTAACATATGCCATTCGTTTTCTATTAAAATGGTTGGTTGTCTTGAAACTACTCTGATATTTTTATATCATCTAACAAAATGGGAGTTCTTTCCATCTTTTATTAGATTAACTCAGACATTTAGTATTTATGATTCTAGTAGTGAATTTACATGTTTATAGCATCATATATTATAGAGTTTTGATAGTCATTTACATTACTGTTATAGCAGTTGCTGATTCTTAGTTTTTTTGCAGCGTCATTCTGTTTCCTATAGCGGTCACGTTCTATATAACATGGTGGTTTATTCACTTTGTGGATGGCTTTTTCTCTCCAATTTATGTTCAACTTGGAATTGATATATTTGGTAAGCATCTCATTAGTTAGCAGCTAAAAACTTTTCTATCCTCTTTCCATCTAAACATGTGAATTTATTTCATAGTTGTGAAATCTTTTATTCCCCCTCCCTCCATGATATTTGAATTTGTAAACATTTTTCTCTCTTTCCTGAAGGTTTGTGAATGATGAGGATTGTAGTGTCTGTCTGCAACCTTTTAGAAATTGTAGCCAATAGCAGTGCTTGTTGTGAGAGCATGGATGATGACGAATCTTCTTTTATTGTGATTATCTTTGGCTCTTTATATAAACTTTTGTTATGCCGGAAATATCTTAATTCTTATGTTATTCCTCACATGGAATTTCCATAGAACCATATTTTCATGGTATTGAAACAAATACGTGTATTTGTTCACTGTATTTTTTTTTTGATAGGAATTGTAGGCCTCGTTAAAAACCTCCTTCTTGATTAAAGGAGCTTGTAGAAAAGCTCCTTAATCAGCAGAAGGAGGAAAAGAGTGCCTTAAGATTTCATTAACCAAAAGAACCAAAGGATACAACCATAATCACCTCCCTCAACAAAAACAAAAACCCAAAACAGCCGGCATAAACCCTATACAACACCACTAACACAGCGAAATCCATAAGAACAACAGTCACAAAAATGACTGACCAGACTTAACACCTGAACTAATCCCGAAAAACACATAACAAAACAACTAAAGCAGAAGCCGAAAACACAGCAGACACAAACCAGAAAAACCAACATAAAAAACATAAGCCTTGAGCTTCCACACGAAGAGAACAAGAATCTTCAACCGCCATACTGCCTCATCCGCCTTACTGCCTCTTCTAGCTTGACATGTCGACATAGACCATCCGAACCTCCAACTTTAGAGCCTTCAAAATCAGAAAAAACTTCCTCTCGATGCACCTTCCTCGTAGAATTCTCACTTATGATTTACCGAGACTTCCTTTGGTGGGCCGATAATTTTTCTTGAAAATTTCGGAGAGAGCTAAATATAGCATTTCTCTCCTCCAAAGCTCTTTGTTTCTGACGCCCATCCACTTTGACTGGATTCGATAGCCCCATCCCCTGACCAGCAAGCACATCCTCGTGTACCACCAAAACCTTAACTCCATCAGATGGCATGTCCGAGGACGGCACAACTGGCAGCAGCACGTTATCTTTAATTAAATCCTTAGACCCAACGTGCGCCCTACTAACACTCTCCAAGGCATGAAAAGTGCCACTAGTTTGACAGGCAAAATCCTGCACAGCTGTCCCACTAACCGACCTAACATTCGGGATCTCCAAGAACCTATTACTATTAAATAATACCTTAGTCTGCCGTGAACCAACATTTCTAATTGGAGCCAAACGCTTACCACTAACATCCAAAAACATGTGCTGCACCACTTTCGAATTTGCACTAACAGCTCTAGCCTCACACACCTCCAAACCTGTGCCCATGTGAAAACCACTAGCTTCCTCCAAAATATTCATATCTGCACTCCTCTGGTCAACTGAATCGAGCGTAGAAGCCCCATTACAAACTGTCTGGTTATCACAAAACGACAGCTTATTGCCATTCACAATATCCTCGAGAGCATCACACAGATCTACCTCAGACCCCACTTGCGCCCCCCTAGCTACCTCCAAAGAATTAAAAGTGCCGCTCATCTGGCAATCAGACCCATGCGCAGCTGTCCCGTTACGGACTGTCGGGGACACAACTTCCACAGCCCTTACCTCTTCGGACCAAGGACCATTTCCTCCTTCCTCGGCACCTGGACCACACTTTCCACCACCAGTAAGCGTGCCTTCAAAACACGTTCCAACATCAACCACCAGCTCGGAGGTCTTAACTGGCGAGACACCAAAAAGCTCCCCCTTCGTGGGCAACGGGGAGGCAACTGACGTTTCCAACACAGACGAATCAACCCAGACGGAATCTGGGCTAAAGCAAGGTTCAAACTCAGAAACAAAAACTGGAAAAGACTGATCCCCAACTTTCAAGACACAAGATTCTTCCACTCGAACTTTACGGTTCGTAATGATCTGAAAACAGGCCCTATCAAACGAGCCGGGATTAGAGGTTCCTACATCAATGGAGATAAGAGTTCCCCATTTTTCTGCAATGTTTCTGAAAGTTGAATGGCACCACACAAACGGTGGTATCCCTCTACACGATAACCATGCCCGGCGGCTACTACACTGAAAGTTTTCCGACCACAAATCCACTTTGTCAAAGCATTTATTCAACGCTCCACTCTTGTTTTTTAGAGTAAAGTCCCTACTCTCTTCATCTTCAAAAATGATCAAAATAGCTAAACCACTTAACCTCATAATTTTCGGGCCTAATATGCCTTCCTTGTGCATAATAGCAGCTAACTCTTTCATTTTTATAAATTTTCTGCACCAACCAACTAAATTATCTCTAAGAGTAATTAACTTATCCTCGTCAACTACACCAATAATAGGCGCCTCTTTGACAACCACCTCACTACTCTTGACCACAGCTGAAGTTGAACCAGAAAACTTTTTCCTCCAGTAAACATCACGAGGTTGAAATCTCGCCATGAAAACTCTAACCTTTCTCCCTTGAATCCAAGATTTATCGTCATAGATGATAGCCCTCCTCGCGTCCTCCACTCTAGAAAAACGGACAAAACCGAACCTGCTACCTCCCTTACTTCTTTTGCTAGGGATGAAGGAATCGACCACCTCGCCATAATTATCGAACAATAACCTAAGACCTTGAGAATGAAGACAATCTGGAATATTGAAAATAATAACTGTAACGCAATTCTTCCCACCAGATCTACTCAACTGACTCGCCATCTAAAGGATTCGAAGGAGAAAAAGAAAGAAATTTTTGAAAAACGCCTGAATTTTTAGAGAGGAGGAGCTTCTCTCACTGGAAATTGTGGGAATGTACGTTTATCACCGCAGAAGATTGGATTTTGAGTTCTCTCTCTCTCTCTCTCTAAAGTAGGTGTGAATTTATGTCATCTTTTGTTCACGGTATTTTACTGTAGGACAAAGTGTGCTAATTGGAGATTTCAGTTTTGGGGGCATCTAATATCTTTAGAGGTTCTCTTGCCAAACATGATATATATGGAAAGAAAGCTAAATGAATTTTCCAGAAAGCCTTTGCAAATGATTTACCAGTTTGACTGATGTATCTTAATATCAGTCTTTGCAGTTTTTAATAAATGTATCTCGGTCGAGAGTATATACCATCTGGTTAATTAACAGGTCTTCTGATGTCTTTTACCTTGATAGGTCTTGGATTTATAACTTCTATAACGTTCATCTTCTTGATCGGGGTATTCATGTCATCCTGGTTGGGAGCATCTGTCCTGAGCCTTGGTGAGTGGTTTATCAAGCGGATGCCATTTGTTCGACATATCTACAATGCTTCCAAGCAAATTAGTTCTGCCATATCTCCAGGTTTTTATCTTCTTCATATTCTGTGTTACTGAAATTGATTCATGCAGTGACACTATATTGAATTTTCATATTTATTGTGTTTCAGATCAGAACACACAGGCCTTCAAGGAAGTAGCCATCATAAGGCATCCACGTATTGGTGAATATGCATTCGGGTTCATCACTTCATCTGTTACTCTGCAGGTGGGCAAATCGAGTTTTTTGTTCCAAAACTATCATTTTAGCATGGTTTTCCCTGTTTTTGTTATTTACTGATATGCATGCACTGCGTGACCTTTTTTCTTGACCAAACTTTTGGGACTGCCTTTTGCCCAGTCATTGGATTCTTGCTTCCATGCGTTCTTGTAGGAAATGAATACTCACTAGGGATGTAATCTAGCTGACTCAAGCTCAAACTGTTAAAGACTCAGCTTGATTGAGTTATACTTTTATGATTGATCTTGATTCAATAATCAAACTGCTTTAGTGTGCTTGATTAGGTTTGTTAAGCTCGTTTACTTGGTAAAAGATGAGCTCAATTCCCACGTTTCTAACTGTACTATCTGTGCCCGAGCTTGAGTTCAAATTGAGATTTTTCAATACTGATTGCAAATAAAACAGATCCATTAGGCTCACGAGCCACTTAAGTCAAGCTGTCGGATACTTGAGTTTGCATTGGTTGACTATTGTTTCACATTCATAGCTGGTACTGTGATATCAAAAGTGCTGTTTTTATTCTTTTTATTTTGAAATGCAGAGCTACTCTGGTGAAGAAGATTTATGTTGTGTCTATGTTCCCACGAATCATCTTTATATTGGTGATATATTCCTTATCAATACCAAGGATGTTTTAAGACCAAATTTATCAGTCCGCGAAGGAATCGGTAAGGCTTCTTCTTCTGTTATTATTTACAAATGCTAATAAAAGAAGCACGAAACGGGGGAGGGGAGGTGAAATTGCCACTTCACACAAGGATGGTTTCTCTTGTCGTGAAGTGGTGATCTATGTTGCCGGACACAGGTGTGAATGTCTGATATCCATATGTTTGCTCATTCACACGGGTATGGTTAAATTTTTCTAAGTTTTCCTATGTCTAATATCCATATGTGTTGGATACAGGTACCTTGAAAAAGGTCTTCATTGGTGGTGATATGTTATAATTATGGATTTAAAAAAAAAATTATACCAGTTTAAGCTTACTCATTCATATTCTTCAATTGCAGAAATCGTTGTGTCTGGAGGGATGTCCATGCCCCAGATCCTGTCAACACTAGACACACTTTTGCCACTGGAAAGAAGTAGATCCGATGGAAGATGAGGTTTAAAGCAGCAGTTGTAGAGTTTGTATTTCTTCTTGTTTCAGATTCAAATCATCGGAGCACCTGCACAATCAACGTGTTGGTAATACAGGATCCGATTTTAGATTATGTTAGATGTGTATCTGATTCCGGTGGCACACGTAACCGTTTGCTTGGTTACGTAGAATGTAAACGTTTTTGCTTTTCGGATATAGTTTGGTCAAAAATACGGGCCAGTTGCCTTGTAGGTGGTTTGATGTTGGATTGTGCTTCTTCCAACTGATAGAACAATAGCGTTGTTATCTTAATATGTTCAAGTCTCTCTTACATTCGATGTTCTTGAGCTTCTTTCGGTTTATTAGTTTTATCACAATTCAAACTCGACCTGCGAGCGCCTATCAGTATCTAATCTTAGTATTTAAATTAAGGATAAATCAATAAAATAATCAAATAAATGTCATACGAGGAGACAATATAAAATCAAACTTCAAGAAAAAAAAAGAACATGATATAGAATAAACAAAGGACGTGCCACAAAAATAAAAAGAAAAAAAATTAACGGTCTACAATCCATCCAAAATTGATACTATTGTAAACAGTAAAATAATATAAAAATTTTAAAGAAAAACAACGTAAAAAAGTGAAATTAATTATAAAATACATTAAATTATGTGTAATCACAATTTTAGCAATCTAGCAAACATGTATAATAATATATGATTTCTTATAGTCTGAGCCAGACAGTAGTAGCGAAATTTCTTGGTCGTCGTATCGGTTACAACGCTTTGTCCAACAGGATTTATGATCTCTGGAAACCGTTGCAAGCCATTTGGATTATGGATATCGAGAATGATTACTTTCTTTTCACTTTTAGGAGTCACTTGGCTAATCTACGGTCATTATTTAACAATCGAACCATGGACTAAGGGCCATTTCAATGAGTTTTAATACCCTGGGCGAGATAATAATTTTATGTTCCTATATTTGTACCGTATAATAAACAAAACATAAATAATTTTTTTAAAACAAAAATGTAATAAAAATTATAGTCAAACAATATCAATACTAATACAAACCAAAACCTACAAAGCTACAAATATCACCTAAAACGATGCCTTCGTGCAATTTTTGAAGTAAAAACTTCTATTGGGCTACCTAAAAGTGGTATATATATACTCCTTCATGGGGTATCAATGATCGATAAAAGAGAGACGTACCTTGTCCTCAACAAGCATGCTTGTCAAGAAATGCTTTGGCCAGGTTACTGAAGCTTACATTTACAGTTTGAGCTTCAGCATAACGCTCAATGACATCAATTACTTCAGGCTTCAAAATCTCCTCCCTGTTAGACTTGTTACAAAGATAATAAAGGGCCCCCAGAGCATAATTCACCTGATAATCAATTGTTTCTCAGATGTGTATGCATTTACAGAATCAATCACAAGAAGATTTAATTGAATTGCTGTATTATATCGCATCAGGTAAAGAGATGTTGTTTACTAATATGAGCATGCCTAAGGGTGTTTCCTTATGCAATTCTATCCTAAGCTCAACCAACTCACTTAAGGACCAACTAGATGTTAGCAAGGTGTTCTATCAGATAATTTACTCCCCGGTTCACCTACTTACAATCTTAGACGGGGAGGGGGGAGAGAGGTAACAGTGAATTTAGCATAATCCATCTCATGTATATCTCTAACAACTCAGAGAATTAAGGATGGAAAGAAAAAATAACCAAGAAGAGAAGCTTCCCCACTCACTGTGTTTCTGACTGGGCTTGATAAACACTGAACGACAAGAGGGATTCCTCCGCACTGAGTAATAACAGCGGCATTAGCTGGATCTGCAAGGAAAAAAATGTACTTACGATGAACGGGTCATCATAATTCATAAAGAAAGAGAACCGTAACTATAGAACTAAAAGCCAGACTTACCCACACAAGAATTGCAGACGCCTCCCATTCCAAATTCAACAAGCTTCTCATTTGGTTCTGTTATGCAATCTAGGAAGAGTTCCAAATTCAACAAGCTTCTCATTTGGTTCTGTTATGCAATCTAGGAAGAGTTCCAAAACATTAAGCTGCTAACAAAGTAAGATGTTAATGTTACAGAAAAAGTACTTGATACACACTAATCAAATTTGAGAGAGAAATAATTTCACAGAAAACATGAATTTGAACCTGACGCATGAATGAATAATTATATGGATCATAGGCAAAGTTTGCCAAATTTGCAGCAATCTTCTCCTTTGTTTCTGTTCAACAAGTACCCATTCAGTTAAGAATTATGAGACTTATCATGTTTCTTGCAATTTACCAATTACCAGCATCCAAACAGAAATTTTACCAGCAAGAAACCCATACTTCAAATTATCAATAAATGGCATTAGCACAGATCGAAAATCAGAAAGAAAATCGAATGAAGACGCAAAACTCACAGGAGATGCAGTGGACAATCCGGCCATACGCCAAAACATATTTGCGAAAAAATAAACAGCGAAGAACTCAGATCTGAACCAAACAAAAGAAAACCCTAGGAATCGACGAATTCAAAAAAGAAAAAAAATAAACGACGAATTAGAAATGAAAAATCAAAAAACCTAAAACTGATGCCCCTCAAAATGCTGCCATGGTATTGGGCCGGCCATGGTCTTTCCACTCAACGTCCTACCAGTAAAACTGATGCCCCTACATGTTGCTCTGGGCCGTCGCCCATCTATCACATGTATGGGGCCGGCCCTGCATGGACTATTGATTTCTCGCCTACACAACCCCATCCGAGCAAATTTATTGCTTGGATTCGTCTTCCTGACTTGCCCGTCACCCTGTATAAACGCAGTATGATTACAGCGATTGGAGAAAACATTGACTTGGTTATCAGAATAGACTACCAAACGGGTAGCGGGAGGAGACGCCGTTTCGCTCGTATGGCTGTAAGTGTGGATTTGAATAAACCTTTAATTTCCAAAATTATTGTTAATGGTCGAACACAGATAATCGAATATGAATCTGTGCCTATTGTCTGCTTCAATTGTGGCACTTATGGTCATTCTTCGAATTCTTGTCCGAAAAACATGGTGGCAACCGAGGAAGCTCCAACTACAAAGAATGAACCCCCACAACCGATTGCTGAGGAATCCAAATACGGTCCATGGATGTTGGTCGAAAAGCGTCAGTGTAAACCAGTTAGGAAAATTGATAATCAAGCCATAACCCATAAATTAGCTACAACAAAGCGGTCTAGATTTAGTCCAGTCGCTGTCCAAGAAGATTCAGAACCATCACAGGATGCACCAACTGATTTGGGTAGAAGACAAAACAATGAAAATACTAATGACAATTTGGCAGAACACCCCAGTATGAACAATAAAGGCAAGGACAAGCTCGTTGAACCCTCTAAAAATGGTAAAACCAAAGGACCTCTTAGTTTGAAGAAGCAACTATCCACGCCTCTATTGAACTCTACCTCATCTGCTTTAAATCTGTCCAATCGTCGCCTCCCATCCTTTTGAAGAAATGGAGCTAGCTCTTCTCTCAATCACAAGCAAGTTTCTCTTGATAAAACAAGGCACTCATCTGTTATTGTCTCAGAAAACTTGGACCCAAACATCCCTGTCCCAAATAATAGTGGAATGCTCATTGATGATCCCACCAGTGAAGGATATTCAGGGGAACCGCCAGACCCGAGAAACTCAAACTGTGACCCTTTTAAAATTGGACGTGTTGACTCTTCGAAAACCCAATTGGATTCTATGGAGATTGCAAATGAAGATAATTTTGACGAGGGGCTTGAAACTCCCATGTCCGATTAAGCTGTATTGCTCCATCTCTTTAACTTTTTTCCTATGAATCTAAAAATATTATGTTGGAATGTACAGGGTTGTGGTCATTCTCGTTCCTTGACAGTTGTTAGACAGTATATCAGGGACAATAAGCCTGACATCGTTGGTTTTGTGGAACCCCGTATCAGTGGCTCTCGGGCAGACGCCGTTATTGCGGCTTTGGGCTTTCCCAACTCCCATCGAGTTGAAGCGGCTGGCTTTTCGGGAGGCATTTGATTATGTTGGTATGATTCCGTCTCTATTGACATCCTTTATAATCATTTTCAATTTATCCACTGCCGTATCACTTGTATCTTGCTATTTTAGCTACAATTGTTTATGCTAGCCCAAATGCCACAAAAAGACTAGTTTTTGGACGCATTTGCGTAGTTTAGCCTCTCAAATTCAGGCTCCTTGGATCCTGCCTGGTGACTTCAATGCCACCCTTGTTATTGTCGATCGAAAAGGTGGGTTTGGTTCTTCACACCCTTGCAAGTACTTTCAGGATTTCCTCGTGGATTTTGATCTCCGGGATATGGGTTTCCACGACCCCCCTTGGACTTGTGGTCTCACTCATGCTCGTCTTGATAGAGCTCTCTGCAATAACTATTGGGATGATCTTTTTCTGGAATCTGTCCTCAATCATTTGCTCCGAGTCCGTTCGGATCATCGGCCATTTTACTTCAGATTGGTAATCTTCCGAAAAGCACCAATCCTACTCATTTCAAGTACTTGTCTAGTTGGCATTTGCATGATGATTTCCATCGTATGGTCCAAGACAATTGGACGGATATGGGCAATCCCACTGAAACTATAGCTAAATTCTCTAAAGAGGCAGAATTTTGGAACAAATCTGTTTTTGGTTACATCAGATCCCAGAAAAGAAGGGTCATGGCTCGTCTCCGTGGTGTCCAAAAGGCCTTACAAATCCGCAACTCTTCTTTCCTCCATAATCTGGAAATTTCTCTCTTATCTGATTTGGAGTCTCTTCTTGACCAAGAGGGACTTTTATCGCCATCGGTCTTGAGATGATTGGATTAATTTCGGTGACCGCAGCACAAACTATTTCCATCGCAAAGTAAAAATTTGAAAGCAACGCAACAGAATTCTTGCCCTTAAAGTGGACGGTGTTTGGTGCCATGATCATGAAGTCCTAAAAGCTGAACCTGTCCAGCATTTTGTGCGGCTGTTCTCGGTCCATGACCCCCATGAAGACTCTTTTCCGTGCCGTGGGAAATTTCCTTTAATCCCGTCGACAACTTGGACAGCCTTGGATGCTACTCCTTCTTCAGACGAAATTCGCTCTGCTTTAAATGATATGGCCCCCTTGAAGGCTCCGGGTTATGATGGATTGCATGCCGATTTTTTTCAAAAGCAGTGGTCAATAGTTGGGAACTCTATTTGACCTTGTATTCAGTCTATTTTTAATGGAGGTGATCTGGACTCAAGTCTGAACAAAACTGTTATCGTTCTCATCCTCAAAGTTGATAATCCGGAAACCTTCATGGATTTTCGACCTAAAAACTTGTACACTGTTATTTACAAGATCCTCGCCAAGCTTATCGTTCGTCGCCTGAAACCAATTGTGTCATGTCTCATCCCACCAATCAAACCAGTTTTATTTCTAGTCGGTTTATCACTGAGAATATTATCCTTAACCCGGAAACTATTCATTCCATGCAACACAAAAAAGGGCACAAGGGTGTCAGGATTGGAGAAGAAGAAGAGGAACGGCGAGGAAATATCAAAGAAAATTTGGGAAATGAAGATCGAGGGATAGGGATTGAAGACAGAAATTGAGAATTAAACCACATGAGAGGCACGAGGTCACTTACCTTATCAGAAGAGCAGGCCGAGCAGAAGGGAAGTATGAAGGAGCAGCCCAATACCTGAGAAAGAAAAGAAAGAGAGGAATCAATATGTAATATAGCTGGGACAGCTGGCATGAAATGAATGACACTTGTAACTAAATAATTAATAGACTTGGTTGTAAAAAAATCCTTTATGCAATGAATGATGAATTTTCTTCTATATCAGCTCTCTTTCGTCTAAAATTTTTCTCTTAAATCTTTTCTTTTCTCTCAATCTATAACAGAGGGATGGATGACAATCAAAGTAGACCTTGAGAAAACTTTCGATAAGTTGCGGTGGGATTTCATAAATGATTCGTTGCATGATGCTGGTTTCCCGCCTAACTTGACTCGCATAATTATGCATTGTGTCACCTCTTCATCTTTCCAAGTCCAATGGAATGGTGATCTCTGAATCTTTCCGGTCAAATCGGGGTATTTGCCAAGGAGACCCCCTATTTTGTACTTTTTATTCTTGCTATGGAACGTTTAGGTAATCTTATTTCGGAGAATGTTGCTCATAAAATTTGGGATACTTCATAAAATTTTGCTGACGATTTAATTTTATATACTAGAGCTGATATCCCGAATGTTGATGTCATCAATTTGGCTTTGGCTTGCTTCTGTTACTACTCTGGCCATAGTGTCAATATAGCGAAAACCACTGTATATTTCTTGCCGAACACAAGCCCTTCAATGAGGGAGGCTATATGTGATCGCTTGGGTTTCAAGCAAGTCTCTGAGCTGGGGAAATACTTAGGCGTCCCAGTTCACCATGGCCGTTTCACAAAAAACGACTACTCCTTTATACTTGAGAAAATGGGTGTTTTACTGGAGGGTTGGGCAACTCAATCTCTATCTATTGCTGGTCGCTTCACCTTGGCCAAGACTGTCATTGCTTCTATTATGATGTACTTCATGCAAACGAGTATGTTTTCGGTTAGCGTTTGTATGTTATGTTTTAGGATAAAATGGTAGAAGAATTTAGAGATTTCAGAGAATAGAAGAAAAGCAATAGATACAGAAAACGTGTATTCTTCATTCATAAAATCCCTTACAGATCTCTGGTACAATTATATATCTAACAAATACCAGATGTCTAACAAAATAACTGCTTAGGTGCTGACTCACCAACCCAACCTCTGTCCAGATTTTATCTTAATAGAATCAAGCCCAAAACGAAAAGCCCACATGTGAATTAAAAGGGTTAAGTCTGGATAAGCCCAACTATTTTACTCCATCCGCATGCCTTCCTTTCATTCCCAATTCCTCATATGATTTCTAAATCCCTAACCTCCTTACAATCCCTAAATTCGCACGATCCTCCCCCATTTCTGCTTATTCATCCCCAATCCCTCTCTTCGATATTTTCCCCAAATCAATACCTTCAAACCCTAACCCACCTTCCATCATAACAATACCCCCTCTATCAGACGATCCTTGTCCCCAAGGATCAAAATCGGGAAACTGATTCTTCAGTACTGCTACATCCTCCCAAGTGGCATCGGAGGAAACCATGTTCGTCCATTGGATAAGAAACTATTGGACTGTCTGATTGTTTCGTTTCACCACTCGTCGATTCAAAACCATGGCTGGGTAAACTTTTAGTTGGCCATCCGATGTAACCTCTGGAGGATTTATCGAGGTAAACCCCTGTGTCCCTACTTTTTTCTTAAGTAAACTGACATGAAACACCGGATGCAACTTTGACTCTGGTGGTAGTTCAAGTTTATATGCAACTTGACCTATTCTTTTCTGTATCTTGTAAGGACCAAAAAACCGAGCAGTCAGTTTGAGATTCTTTCTCAATGCCAGAGATGTTTGTCTATACGGTTGAAGTTTCAGGTAAACCTCATCTCCTACCTGAAATTCCCTGTCAGTGCGATTTTTGTCCACCATTTGCTTCATTCGATTGCTTGCTTTGAGTAATTGGTCTCGTAGAAATAGATTCAATTGATCCCTATGTTGCATCATATTATGTATTGCATCTACCCGTGACTCACCTGACCAGTTCAGACTAGGAGGTTTATACCCATATAATGCCTCAAATGGATTCATCTGTAAAGCTGTGTGGTAATTAGTGTTATACCACAACTCAGCCTGTGGTAGCAACTTTGACCAAGAATTTGGCTTTAGAAAACACATACTCCTTAGATACTGCTCCAAACACTGGTTGAGTCTTTCAGTCTGACCATCTGTTTCTGAATGATAGGCAGTACTAAAATAAGTAGTTGTCCCCAGTTGCTTTAGTAACTCTTGCCAAAATAAACTGGTGAAAGACTTATCTCTGTCAGAAATAGCAACCTTAGGAGGACCGTGCAATTTATAAACCTGATCAAGATACACTCTAGCAACCTCCACCACTGTGTAGGGATGAGATAAAGGCAAAAAATGAGCATATTTAGTAAATTTGTCAATTACCACCAGGATACACTTGTACTTTGTTGAAGGTGGTAACCCTTCAATAAAGTCCATTGTTATCACCTCCCAAGCATTATTTGGAACTGGAATAGGCTGTAATAGCCCAGGTTTAGGAATATGCTCAATTTTAGTCCTCTGACAAATATCACACTGCTTAATATGTTCTTGAGTCATAATCTTCATTCTTGGCCAGAAAAAATAAGATTTAATTCTCTGATATGTAGCTTGAATACCTGAATGTCCTCCTTGTGGGGAATCATGTAAAGTCACAATTATCTTCTGTCTAAGGTCTCCTGTGCTGCCAACATAAATCATGTGTTTAAAATATAAAACTCCTTTAGTTAACTTCCAATCTTCTATACTGTCTGGTTGAAGAACCATAACGGGAATTTTTTCTTGAGCTATGACATCAGCTTCATAACTTTCTTCAATTTCATTTACCCAAGTAGGAGTGATAATTGTGACCCCCAACTGTAAAAATTCTCCAGAATCAATCTGCTGCCTAGAAAGTGCATCTGCCACCTTATTAGATTTACCCTTCCTATACTGAATGGTATAATCAAGCCCAAGTAACTTTGTAAGACCCTTCTTCTGTATAGCTGTAGTTAATTTCTGCTCTAGAAGATGTTTTAAGGGTTCATGATCTGTTTTGATTACGAAAGACCCACTCTCCAAATAATGTCTCCAGTGTGATACTGCCATTAGGATAGCCAAATATTCCTTTTCATAAATAGAAAGATCTGTATGTTTAGGGCCCAAAGCCTTACTCAAGTAAGCTATAGGTCTGCCTGCCTGAGATAGGACAACCCCAATTCCCTTTGAACTAGCATCAGTCTCCAAAAAAAAATTTTGTTCAAAATTGGGCAAAGCCAAAACTGGAGCTTCACACATAACAACCTTTAATTTCTCAAAAGCTATTTTGGCTTCAGTAGACCAATGAAATCCTTCTTTTTTCAGCATGTTTGTTAAGGGTTTACTCAATTCTCCATACCCTTTTATAAATTTTCTATAGTACCCAGTGAGACCCAAAAATCCTCTCAAAGCTTTTAGGTTCTTAGGAAGAGGCCATTGTTGCATAGCTTTAATTTTAGTAGGATCAGTTGCCACTCCTTTAACTGAAATGAGATGCCCCAAATACTCCACTTGTTGCTGCCCAAAAAAACATTTACTCTTTTTGGCATATAACTGATTCTTCAACAAAATTTCTAACACAATTCTCAAATGTTGTTTGTGTTCTGCCATACTAGCACTGTAAACCAGAATATCATCAAAAAATACAAGAACAAACTTTCTTAAATAAGCTCCAAATAGATCATTCATCAAAGTTTGAAAAGTAGCTGGAGCATTAGTAAGTCCAAAAGGCATAACCTTAAATTCATAATGCCCTTGGTGAGTCCTAAAAGCAGTTTTAAGAATATCCTCATCTTTAATCCTGATTTGCCAATAACCAGATCTCAAATCAATCTTTGAAAAGAAAGTAGCTCCATGTAGCTCATCTAATAGGTCCTCTACTATAGGAATAGGAAATTTATTTTTAACTGTAGCAGAATTAAGTTGTCTATAGTCTACACAGAATCTCCAAGTTCCATCATTCTTTTTAATAAGCAGGCAAGGAGAAGCAAAAGGACTTTTACTTACTTGTATGATAGAAGAGGATAACATCTCAGCAATATGCTTTTCCACTTCAGTTTTATGATGATAAGGAAATCTATAGGGTCTTAAATTGATTGGATGTGTTCCTTGTTTCAAAACAATTGCATGATCATGTTTTCTCCTAGGAGGCATCCCTTTTGGTTCCTCAAACACCTTCTTAAACTCTGCCAATAATTCTTGCAAAGGTAGAGGAATTAAACTATCTTGTATTTCAGCACTTAACAAATACATTTCTCCAGTCAATTCAACATCTTTTTCCACCAATTTCTGAAATTTTTCACCTGTTATGGGTCTGATTAGTGGTAATTTTTGAGTACCTCTAATCACAACAGACTTTCCATCCTTCTCAAGACTAATAGTTTTTGCCTTAAAATCCATCAGTATAGGGCTAAACTCCTCCATCCAGTCCACCCCCAATACCATATCACTGCCTCCCAATGACAATACTCTGAAATCATGCTGAAATTCATATCCTTGCATC